CCGGTGCATCCACGTCGTCCCGTGTCGCAGGGCGCCCTTCTCTCTGAAGGCGGAGCAGTCTCCCGCTGCAGACTGGGGCTGGCGTTCCTCCTCCGTTCGCCGCCACCGCCGCCGGTGGGCGGGCGCGTAGGCTCTCTCCTCCTTGGCGGCGGGGAACCGTGCCGCTGTGGCCAGGGCTGCTCCCGGTCCTCGTGGGTAAGTGCCCAGGACCCGGGCGGCGGCCTCACAGGGCCGTCCCGCCTTCGTGTGGCTTCCGAGGCGCTTGCTCACCGCCACCCGCCCGCAGTGGCTCACCGATCTCCATCCGCGCGGCAGAGCGCACGCCCCGGTCCCGCCACGCCCTCCCCGCAGCGGCTGTCTTTGCTTGGCCCTCCTCTTCCCTCTTCTCCTTCTTCCTTCTTTCTCTCCCCCTTTCAGTTTTTTTTTTTGTCTTTTTGAGAACAGCCATCCTGACAGGTGTGCAGTGAAGCGAATTCTTCAAGCCACCACAACTCAGCAACCCCGGGGAGGCCTGGAGGGAGTTTTCTCCAAGACCAGGCGAGCCACCGTGGGTTTGCTCTAAATTCTCAAGAAGAGGATCTAAGAAAAGACTTTTGTAAGAGAGCAGGTGCTTGGGTTTGGCAGATGTCCCCCACGGGGGGCCCCACCTGAGGGTGCCAGAGGGGCAGGAGGGCGGGGAGGCCACAGGGATGGGGTGGCGGTGCTTGTACTCGGGGAGCATGGGTGGGGGGGCTCTTCCTGCTCTGGACGCTCCCCACCGCAGCTGCTGTCTCTGCGTCAGACACAGAAGGTGCAGGGAGAGCCCCCCCACCCCCTGCCCCGAGAGTGGGCCCGGACCCAGGGCTGGGGAATGAGGAGAGACCTGGCCCAGGCCGCTCTGGGAGGTTTCACAGGAAGTGCGGACGGGAACCTGGGTTCCCCGCCTAGGCCGCAAGGCAGGTCTGAGTTCTGGCGAAACGGGAAAGCAGACCAAGTTTGCCCTTGAGTCCCTCTCCTCTGTCCCCCGGTCAGCGGAGGTGCCTTTCCCGACAAGAGTCCCCGGGCCTCCCTCCCGCAGCCCCTGGGGGAACGAAGCCCCGGGGTGGCCCTCCAGGACCCCCCACAACTTCCCACCCACTTCCAACCCCTCGCTGCTGCGGCCAGCAGGCGTGTTTGATTCTGTTCGCTTCCTGGGTCGACAGGGAGGTATGACTGACTCCAGAGTGACACCCAGGGGAGAAATGCACCTGGGGACTCCGGGGTGACACGGGACACTCACGGACTCCTGTGGCTTCCTTCGTCCACTGACAGCAGTTAAATGCAATGCCCGCCCTCAGGCCCGCGGCCCCTGCCGTCATGGGCTTGGGGCCTCCCCGAGGAGAGCAGAACCCGATGGAGCCCCGCCGTCCCCCGGCTTGCGTGGCGGCACCGCAGACCCGCTGCCTCTCAGTGGAGAGACTCTGAGCCCAGGGGCGGGAAGCCGGCCACGCCGGGAGCATTTGGAGCAAAGGGCTCCTTCGAGGAGGAATGACCCCGACAAGGCCTGGTTTGCTCGGCCGCCAAAGCAGCGACTCCAGCGTGACGGCCCGCCCCACACCGGTCGCTTCTTCCGTCGCTAAAACCAAAGCAGCCCCGTATTCTGGCGCGTCCGTGGGGAAGCCACGTGGAACGGGAAAGGCCGAGCTCGTGGCTCAGAGAAGACGACGGCAGTGGTCCCTCAGCGAGACAGCAGCGTCCACCCCGGGTTCCTTGTCATCTGGTCGGACACTCCGCGGCTGGGCGCAGAGAAAGTATCAAGATAATTGGACACACTTTTTTCTTTTTTTAATTTTTTAAAAAAGATTTTATTTATTTATTTTTGGAGAGGGAAGGGGGGAGAGAGAGAGAGAGAGAGAGAGAGAAACATCAATGTGTGGTTGCTGGGGGCCGTGGCCTGCAACCCAGGCATGTACCCTGACTGGGAATCGAACCTGCGACACTTTGGTTCCCACGCCCATGCTCAATCCACTGAGCTATGCCAGCAGGGCTGGACACACTTTTTTCCATTGTCTCAGATAAATACCTAGAAGTGGGGTGGTCGGGGCCCTATGGGAACTTCCTGGGACACTGACAAACTGCGTCCGAGTGGGTGCGACACTTTCATCCCCGCCAGCAGCGCGGGCGGGGCCCGGGCACCCCACCCCCTCGTCAGCACTTGGTGCGTCAGGCTCTTAGAAATGTGGCGATTCTTGTAGGCGTGTAGCGGTGTCTCGTGGCTACAAGGTGCGTTTCCCAAGGGAATAATGACATTGAGCCACTGAGGGGGTATAGGAAGAGGCTCAAAGACAGCTAAGCAAAAATGAAAAGGAGAAATTAGTGTTAACTCCACGAAGGAGAAAAACTTCAACCAGGGAGCTGTCATTTCAGCTCACAACACGGGTCATCCAAGAACGGCCTTTCTGCCGTCACTACGGGGCGAACCCTGGAGTCGGACGCTAGCCTGAGCTGGCCTCAGTTATGCTGGGTGGGTGTGGAGCGACCTCGGGGACCAGGAGGTCAGTAGATGAGGCCCACGCAGGGTGTCTCCCCGCAGAGGAGCGGTAACTGATGTGGAGATCTCCAAAGACAGCCGCCCCCCGCGCAGCAGCCCCCACGGCCCGTCCTGCGCAGGTGTGTCCTGCTGAAGGAGCCCCATCAGCGCGCTGGTGCGCACCCCCGGCGGGGCCTCGGAACAGGAGCACCGGCAGCTTGTGAGGCCGACTCAGGGCTCAGCAGCCGTCCCCAGCTCTGCTCAGTGGAGGAGTCTGGGGCTCTGGGAGCGCGGAACGTCAGGCTGAATAACGCCCCCTCTCACATCCGAGCGCAGACTCCGCCCCTGGGTCCGGACAGCGCATCCGTGCATGCGCAGATGGGCACTGCGAGGACGTGGGCTGCGGCTTCACTCTCAAAGAGCTCGCTCTCGCGTCCCTGGCTTTCTGGAATGGCGGGAGCCGTTCCACTCTCCAGTCGGGGACAGTGTGGAGTGAGCCTGGGAGAGCCTCCTGCAGAGGTCCAGAGGGCCGACGCCCATTGGGGGGCGGGGGGGGGCACACAACACAGCACTGTCCCCTTCCGCGTGCTCCCCCAGCCTGTCACTGAGACGCGGGTCCCTCGCTCCTGCACCCGCCTCCTCCCAGTCAAGTGGTGTGAGCCAGGGCCGCGGGCAGAGCCCCCTAAAGACAAACCACTGAGTCTGGAGGTGGGCACACAATGCAATGCACAGCTAATGTACAATGCTCAGGTGGGATCATGCATAATGCGAGGTACAATATCATAAAACCGGACACCTGAAACCTATATGATCTTAGTAACCAGTGTCACCCCAAAACATTCAGTTTAAAGAAGGATAAAAAGTGGAAACAATAAAAATAAGCCACAGGAGAGCTCCTCTTCCCCCGGTGCTGGAACGTTCTTTTCCCTGGCGAGGTCTAGTCCGGCTGCCACGTGTCTCACTGCCACGTCGTCTTGCTTATTTCTCTCCAGAATAACAGCCACAGCTCATACGCAGTGGCTGACTAACGCTCTTGCCAAGGGCCAGGCTCTGTACTCAGGGCTTCCCATCCATTACGTCATCTAACCTCTGTGATGACCCAGGGAGGTGGGAGTTCGTGTTCGCTCCGTCTGACCCAGGACGCGACCGAAGATCAGGAACACTGAGTGGCCGGCTCCTCTGGTTTGCCAGCCTCCAACGCCACGCCCCCAGCCTCCAGGACGTGTGTGTGGCCTTGCGGCGCTGCCTCTACTCGCCCCAGGGCACCCTTGCGCTCTGTTCGGGCTCTCTTCAGCTTTGCGAGGGAAGAACGCTACAATGAAGCTGCACAGCCGGGGCTGCTTGCGGGCAAGGCTGGGCGCGGTTCCTAGTTGCCACCAGCAGGTGGCACCACCTCCCCGGAGATTCCCGGGAGACTGGCCCGCGTTGCAGCCCAGCACCATTCCTGTCCCGCCCCCCCCCCCCCCCGCCCCGGGGTTCCGGGGTTTGCCTCACCTGCCACCTTCTAGCACAAGCAGTGTCGTGAGAAGCGGGTGCAGTTACGGAGACCCTAGTGTTTGTTCCGATGGCGCCCAGTGCACGAACAGTAGTTCGTGTAGACAGTTTTAAATCCCCACAGTCCTCCTCTGCCCCGCCCCCGTGGTGAACCCCAAACCTAACCCTTCAAAACCCCGTTTAAGGAGAAAGTCCTGTTGTTAAACCAGGTTCCCTTCGCGCAGCGCACAGCGGCGCCACAGGGCCGTGCCCTCCTCCTGCCCCCGGGGCCCTAGGGTGCTTTGGCTGGAGTGTGCGCTCGGCATTGGCTTCCAGGCCTGGCTCTTCCTCCTGTTCCCCCGGCCGGCCGGCCTCTGGTCCCTCTGTGCCGGGCCGGGCCGGGGCGCCGGGACCCCAGCGCAGTGGCGGCCGTTGGAAGGACCCCGTTGGGCCTCACAGGAGCGCGCGCGCTCACCCAGCCAGCTCTGCCAACCGCGGGGGAGCGCCCACCAGGACGCAACAGGACCTCGGGGTACACGGAGTTGGCTCCGCCCTCCCGAGGCGCCGCGGGCTGTGCTCCCGTCTCCTCCACGTGCCGCCCTTCGGCGGCCACTGCTGTTTTATGAGACGGCGCGAAGGCTTTGGAAATCGTCTCGGGGAGGAGTGTTTCGACAGAGTTTGGCTTACAGGGCGCCTGTATCGAGTCACACTGGCCCTCTCCTCCGCCCACCCGGCCGCCCCCTCCCCCAGGTGGCCTATCTAAAACGCTCCGCTGTGCGCAGGTTCCTTGGGGCGCGGCGATGCCCGCTCAGTCTCCGGGACAAGGACAGGGACAGGGTGGCCCAATGCGCCAGACACCGTCCTGGCTGGAGCTGGCGTCACGGCCAGAGAGGGAGCGCGTCACCTTGTGCCCGGTGCCAGGCTCCAAGCAGGCACCCCCGCTCGGGCCCCAGGGCGCGCTGCGGACTCCGGGCGGCATGTAACTCTCCACGTGAGATGAGAGTAAACATCAGGCTTCATAAGAGCCCAGCGAGGGCTGCAAGGGCCTCGAGGGCTGCGGCTGCAGGCGGCCGGGGCCTCCCTCGGTGTCCAGGGTGCGCGCAGGCTGAGCTTTCCGCCCCCCCTCGCCCCCCGCCCTTCTGCGGTTGCCCGCCGGGCAGCAAGGCGGACCCTGGCCGCGGCGGGCTTTCACACGCTGCGCAGGTGAGTCGGCCTCCACTGCAGAGTCCTTATCTTCATGTTTCTGAGGGCTCTAGTAACAAAGCTGTTTCCTTTGCCAGAAAATCGTAAAAGGAATGATTTCTTAAAATGATTCCTGGCTCTCTCTCTCTCTCCCGCCAGCCTCTCCTCCTCCTTGTCTTTCTGGTGATGGTTTTCTCATTTCTTCAGTAATTGCCCCGGATGAACATTTTGAAACTTTTTCATGGGAATTTCATAGTAAATGGTATCTTTTGCTATTCTTCATATACAAATGAAAGACTTTGTTGCCTTTTGTAGGCCCAGGTGATGCTAATGAACCCCCATCTTTCCAAAAAGGAGAACTATGGGTTTGGGGAGCAAGTGGGTGGCCCTTTCCCGTGGGGTCAGATGGCCCCGCTGCTGAATTGCGCCCCCTTGTGACAGGCGCAGCTGCAGACAGGAGGCTGCGTGTGTCCTGCAGACAGGGACACCTTGGCCACACGTGTGAGCTCAAGCCGTGGTCTCGGTGTCCCTTCTTTGGCCCCGTGGAGCTGACCGGCCCCAGATGCCGAGAATGGAGGTTGTTAGACTGTGCGGCTCCTGCTAGGACGGGGTGGGTGCCAGCCAGCCAGGCGAGTGGCTGGGTGTCTTGTCCTTGCAGAGTGGCCAGCGTGCAAGCCCGGTGACCTTGGACATGTAGGCCAGAAGTGTTCCCCCTGCCGCACGAGCAGGCCTGCCTCGACGATCCCTCAGGGCCCACGTGCTTTACTTTTTAAAGCGAGAGCCCTTTACTGAAAATATCTGAGATATGCATGTCCACATGTGTGAATACTGCTTTGAACCATGTGAAATTGCCAATATTCGGCCATTTTCACCTACATGCACAGCAGTTTCAGCTGGTTCAACAGAACATAAACAACGGCGGCCCTCGCATCACTGAACCCGCGGTACTGCGCGCTTCTTCTCAGACAAGGGATGAGCGTGCGCTCCCAACACAGTCGGTATCTCTCCGGGACAGTTCTTCTGGGTGTCAGAAACGTGCCAAATCTATTCGAATGTGTTCGCATGTCCGTCGACGGAACTGCTTTCTCGCGCTGTGGTTTGGTTATTTCCTGGGGTTGTGGGCCAGACCGGCGACCGCTCAGCCAGGTCTCAGGCAACAGTGTTCCAGAAGGGAATCCACCTTGGACTTGACTTTTTCAGCCTGGCCAGGGGTCAACGCTTAGGCCCTTTTCGCTCAGTGAGTGAGTCTTATCAGAAAGCACCTCCGGCTCTGCTTCGCCGCGGCCTTTGTCCCCGTTTGAGTAGCTTTAACTGAGCAAATAACAAGCAATATCAGCTCCAGCAGGCGTCGACCGTGGCCACGCCCCCGCCAGCGACCTTGGCCACGCCCCCACCTGCAGCAAGCCCCGCCTACGCCTGCTGCACTCCGCACGGAAGGCATTTAATTGCAGAGATTCTTGGACAGGCTTTAGGGGGCCCGGGAGCCCCCTGAAACTGATCGGAGAGCTTCCTGTGTGCATACATACACTTTTAAGGGGAAAAATAAAATGAACCTTTAAAAAAATTTTCAAGGCATCTGCAAACCCTCCCTACCTTGCCCTTCCCTTCTCCTGCCGATGAGTTAAAAATCACCATTCTAGTAGTTTCCGGTTGAATTGCACAGCGCACGGGAGAGGACACTCGTTCGCTCACCAGACGCACGGTGACGGGCCAGGATTGCAGATGAAGAGGCAAACCCTGTCCCCAGCCTCGTCAGGACCCCAGTGACCTTGAGCTCTCAGCCTCAGTTTCCTCCTCGTAAGCTCAAGGTCACAATCCCCCATCACCGAGGGGTCTCCGGGGTCACCGAGTGAGCACAGTAAACGAGTCACCGAACAATTGGAGACGTTCACAGAAGCGGCTCCGGGAAGGGGGTTCCAGCCCAGCCTCGGAGGCTGGGAGAAGCTCGGGGCCAGGTGTCCCCAGCCAGCGGCTCTGAGGGGACGAGAGCAAACCCCTGTCTGTACGGTGAGTCGGGAGACACCCCGCTCCTCTGTCCCGCAGCAACTGCCTGTCTTCTCCCGCAGGCGGTTCGGGGAGAGTCACTGGGAGACCAAGGCGACCTCAGGGGTCTGTCCTCTCTCCTGGGTCCTCACTCCCCCCAAGCTCACTGGAAGGGCCCCATCCGTTCCAGCTGTGGAAAGGGAGGCTTCCCCGGAGCTCGCTGTCCTGGGAACCTCACGCAGTGTCACCGTGGCATCTGTCCTCCGTTTGCAGTTCTCCCGGGGCCCTGCAGGGACAGGCATCTGGCAGCTGAGCACCTGCCAGGACACGTCCCAAGTGGTGGGAAGCAGCTGGGCGGCTTTGGTGAGAATGTTCGCAGGATTGTGGTGACAGTGAGGGTGGCCTGTCCTGTTGTCCTTTCCTGTGATACTGGGGCCTTGACGCCCATCCTCCCCTCGAGGAACCCCTCCACTGATGGACCCCGGCAGGAGACCTCTTGGGGGCTCAGTGGGCACAGGAGCCCCAGCCCCTCAGGAATTTGCCAGGCCGCCCGCTCTCTGGGGGACCAGACACAAGTCAGGTCCTCGCGTGGCCTGGTGCGAGCTGCTGTCCCTTCAGAGACGTGCTGTCCAACTAGCAAAACACCTGGAGTAGCTCCAGCCTCCTCGGCCCCTCGGAAAGGACACACAGCCGCTCCTGTCCCCAGTGGCTCAGTCTGGACCCCCCACACTCACCCTCACCCCGGGTTGAGAGGGTCTTCTTACCCACCAGCAGCCCCGTGGTTTCTGAGTGTAGTTCTCGGCGCTTTCCCAGCGGCCTCTGCCCGCAGCCCAGTGCTCGCCCTGGCTCTGGGAACAGGAGGAATCCTGTCCAGTGGGGGCAGGAGGGGCTCCACGCACACGCTGCGGAAGGATGGCTGTCTTCACTGCAGAGGCCGTGGGGGAGGGCTGGGACGGAGGGAGGGAGGGCGAGGACACGGGAGGGGGCGGCACCCGCCCCATCTTCAGGGGACAGGCCTGGCGTGGCGCGGGGGCTGGGGCGCGGGGTCTTTGGAAGATGAGACTGGTGCGAACTCCCCCTCGATGGGCAGATCTTGTCTCTTCGAGGGCGAAGGAGCCGGTGGAGCGTCCTGAGTCGGACGGAGGCCACCTGGCCGCACTCCGTCACGGTGAAGCATGTTATTTGAGGGGGAAGGCGCATCTCTGCCACATGGCTCAGGGGATGTGCTTGGTGTGCGCCGTGGGGCAAACGTATCTGTTTGTCCGGTTCCTTTTCGACCCACCTGGCTTTGTGGGGGGCTGATGGGGGTGGAATCCGAGAGCTCCGTGAGTGATGGAGCCCAGAACGTCACAGTGAGGAATGTGTCACCTTAGTTACAGTGCTTCCCCACGAGGAAGGTGAAGGGAAGGCACGTTTATTTAGGGAGAAAGTCCTGGAAATGGTTCTGAGCCCCTTGCCCGGGGGCAGGGGGGGCAGAGGTCCAAAGCACCCCTTTCCAAGGGAGGAAGGGAAGGTACTCGCTGGGAGAGGAGGCGCTGCTCCCCCAGGGCCCGGGCCCCCCCGCCCCACCCCGTGCGGACAGTCATTGGGGCTGTACCCCACTGGGAGGACTGCAGGCCCACGGGTTTCTGCCTGCCCACCCCTCCAGTGCCCGTTCTGCCTGCCTGCCTGCTCCGTCCGTGCGCCTCGTCCAGCCCCATTCTCTGGGCTCTGGGTCCCGCCGGTCCCACCGTCACCACCGTGCACACCCTGGGTCGTCGTGGCTGGGTGTGCGCCGCCGCACCGAGCATGCACGCACGGAGTCCCCGCATCCGCCCTCGCTGCCCGGCCAGTGCCCTCCTTCTGTTTGCCAGGCGTCCACTGCGGGCCGATGGGGGGCCAGGCTCTGTGGTGGCCCCTCTCGGGACCCCAGGTGATGCAACCCCTGCCCCTTGGAGAGGACGGGGGAGGGGCAACGACGAGACCACAGAGCGAGGGTCACACGCACGCGCCGGCGATATGCACATGTGGTGGCCACAGACCCAGAAGGGGACTCCCGGGAGAAATAAGAAGACACGATGCTTGGAGAGAAGATGGGGAGGGTGCTGACCGAGAGCGGGCCAAGTGACAGCTGGGCTGGGACTGGGCCCGGGCGCTGAGGAGGTGGCCAGGGAAGAGCAGGGCCCCGGGGGAGGTCCAGCTCGAGGGAACAGGATGCACCACCGTCATGCAGCAGGAGAACGGTGTTGAGGGACAGGGGGCGGGGGGGGGGCAAGGCCGGTGTGTCTGGCCAGACGGCAGGGAGGGCGGGGGACCCGGAGAGGGGCCCGGGGACCCTGACGGAGCTGGGGTCTGGGGAACAACAGGAGGGCGCTGGGTTGTTTTTAAATCCAGGGAACGATGTGGTGTCCTTTCCCTCTTTAAACGAGCACGTGGCCTGCTGGGCGGGGCAGAGGGGCCGGGTGACCCCAGGAGGGGGTTCCGGGGAGCCCGGTGTGGCATCGCACAGTGTGGCGTCACCCGGGGAGAGATGCTGGCGGCCGGGCAGGGACGCGGAGGGCAGCGAGGGGAGCGGGTGGGAGAAACTTGGTGGTGTCTCAGGGAGTGGCTGTGTCTCTCATCTGAAACGCTCTTCCACACCTGGGTACACCTGGCTGTCTCTTGTGTGGACTTGGGAACAGCCCTGCCTTGGCACGGAGTGTGACCCGAACCCCAAAGGCTGCCCATGACCCTTTGCAAGCTTCCACCCCACAGCCCTCGGAAGTCACAGAATGTGCCGGAGCCGCTGCTCTGGGCGGCCGGTGTTGGCCGCGTGCCTGTCACACGAACAAGGCATCTCGCTGACCTGTGAGGTCGCCGATCGCTCTGAAAACAAAGTCCCGCCAGGTTATCAGAGACAACTTGAAACAGGAGGAAGGTGTAAACAAGAAAAAAAATTCTTTAAGCATACTGCCCACTATGAACATTTCAAACTATTTATTTCCGGCCTTTTTCCCATTTTCACAGGCACACAGACATTTATTTACATCTGTAAATTGGGGTCGTACTATGTGTGGTTTCATGTCCTTCACTGAACTTTGGTCAGACGTCATGCGTGCAAAAACTGCACACGAGAAGCTTAAAGCATGAAAAACTAAGCACTCCATCCATCTCCGACCAGGCTGAGAAGAAATAACTCTTACTCTCCCTCTCTCGCATGCCCCTCGCGCATCCCTTATGGTAGGCGCACGGGGAAAGGACCCCTCCTTAAAAACCGGCTTCACCTGTCCTCCTCTCTCTTTACTCTGTGGCAGGCAGGAAGCATGGCCGCCGCGTCCAACCTGACGCGGGCGCTAGAAGACGCCTTCAGGAGGATCTTCATCACGTACATGGACAGCTGGCGCAGGAACACGACCGCGGAGCAGGATGCCATCCAGGCCAAGGTGGCGGCGGAGAACTTCTACTACGTGGTCTTGTACCTCCTGGTGATGATCGGCATGTTCTCCTTCATCGTCGTGGCCATCCTGGTGAGCACGGTCAAGTCCAAGCGGCGGGAGCACTCCAACGACCCCTACCACCAGTACATCGTGGACGACTGGCAGGCCAAGTACAAGAGCCAGACCCCGCACCTGGAGGAGGCCCGGGCCGCCGTCCACGAGAACCCGGGCGCGGTGGGGTTCCAGATAGCCCCGTGACGGGCCAAGAAGCCAACCTCCGACACCTGGACGTGGGGACACGCCCGGGCCACGCCGCCCGTCCAGAAGGCCACCGCTCAGCGGACTCCGACTTCCTCGCCCTCTGCTGGGACTTGTCCTACGTGTCACGTGGTTGGTCGCCGAAGACAGGGACACCTCCCCCTCGGGGACGGATGCTTGCTCTTTGGAGCAGGACTGGGGGCCAAAGACGTCTTTTCCGTGCCGAGGAACTGTCGTTTTAGTTGATGTCACATTGGTGGAAACACAGCCTGACCAGAAGCAAAGTGTCAGGGCCATGCGGGGTGCGGGGGGCAGGGGGGGAGAGGTATGGACGGCACCCGGGAGGTCCCTATGATTTTGTCAGACCGTTTCACGTATAGATGCCGAGTCTGTGGCCCACGGATCAGGTGATTCATCCGTTCACTTAAGAAGCAACATCTGGCATCATCTCCTGGGCTCACCAGCCTAGACCCCTGGGCACTGACGAAGTCAGGTTCGCAAACAGCACGATGACAGATGGTGACAAGGTCACCACACAGATCGACGCAAAGCCGGCCGAGCAGGGACCGGGGGGCGGGGCGGGCCTAACGCGGGTCTCAGTGGACTCCCTCGGAGGAGCCTGGAGAAGGAACTCAACAGCGAGAGCAATGCCTGGGCCGGGGCTTCCTGGAGCCTCGGGGCCCCTGGCCCGCCCTTCCCCTCCCTCTTCTCCCCATCTGCTCAGCTCCACGGTGAGGGGGCCCTCAAGCCTTGGGGCATGAAGACAAAATTCAAAAGAGGAGCCTTTACTCAAGGCATGCTCCGGGGTTTATGGGTTTAGAGCCGGACACCTGGCCCCTCGAGGCTCCCCTCCCAGATTCCTGGGGTAAGACGTCGTCGAGACAAATAAAAACCGGCCTCAGCCGGAGTTGGCAGCCGTGTTGACCTACGTCGCAGTCTGGAAGCTGCTGTGCCGTCCGGGCCACCAGGCCGCCGTCCAGAGAGGAGGGACTGAGACTCAGTGTGCTGACGACCACCCCCGCCCCAGCGTCAGAGACCACCAGCCGCCGCCTACCCTCCCTGTGCCCAGAGCCAATAAAACCCTCCACCAGCCCCGCCCTCTCCACCAACCCCGCCCTCTCCAGCAGCCCCGCCCCTCCACCAGCCCCGCCCCCACCCCTACAACTCACTCCGAGTCTGCCCACACTCCCCTCCTTCCCGAGTGTGTGCTGTCACTTTAATAACCTACTGCGCTCCACTGAGTCTGTCTCGCCCTTGAATACTTTCTTGCATGTTGACAAGAACCTGGACGCTGTCACTGGGGTGAGGCCTCCCCTGTGTCCCCGTGAGCGCTTCGGCAACACCACCAGAAGTACTGGATACAGTGTCAGGAGAAGCCATTCATATTCCAAGGGGAGATGTGGCCGGAGCGGCTTCCTCCCTCAGATCAGGAACCCAGGAATGCTGTGCACACAGAACATCCATCCCAGGGTGCCCACAGCAGCTATGCAAGCTACGGAACCCAGGCCGTGGGTCTGGACCCAGACAGGGAAGCAAGGTTTCCAGCAGGGGATGAACATGCTCTCCTTTGATGGACTCTGGCCAGGCGCCTCTGGGCCCTCTTGCCACACTGAGAGACTTGAACAGCAGAGCCTCCGGCTGCTCAGCGCTGCACCCCTAAGAGGACCCCAGCCCCCTTCAAAGTACCTGCTGCAGCCCTAAGAGGACCCCAGCCCCCTCCAAAGTGCCAGCCGAAGAAAGGCAACCTGCCAGCTGGGTCTGGCCAACCCCTGGTGAGAGGCACGTCAGCCTGCCCCCACTTCCCCTGTAAAGAAGCTTGCTCCAGGAAGCTTGCAATGATAAATCCTTTGTCTCCACCTTTGAGATGCGCTGCCCAGAACTGTCGTGTCTCTTTGAAATGTCAACAACCTTCGAGGAGGTGGACTCTCCCTGCTGGTGGGTCCCCTACCTCTGACTTGGCGTCACGGCCTCTCCTCATCAAGACAGAAGCGGCTCTTGCCTCTTATGCTCTCCCAACCGGGGACCCTGGCCGCAGCACAAAGTCACCAGTAGGGGGAGCATGAGAGGCAACCACACACTGATGCTTCTCTCCCTTTTCACCCTCTTCCCCTCTCCCTAAAAATAAGTAAATAAATGAAATCTTAAAGAAATGTGTTAAAAAAAAAAAAAAGGAGCGGCTCCCCTCCAGATACCACCTATCAACAAACCCCGTCCGATGGACGCACTCCTTGCTTTTTGGGAGTTCCCACCTCCTTAATCCCGCTCAAGTGCCCCCACTCTGGGTCCCCCTTCGAAACTTGACCCAGTTGCCCCTGCCCATCAAAGCCCAGTCTGGTCCACGCGGGGCCCTCCTCCCTGTGGTCCGAGTTACGGAATAAAGTGTATCCTTAACACCTGCACGAGGGTCTGGCTTCGTTTATCTTTGATGCATGAAACGAAGTGGGGGCGGGGAATCTACTTTTTTAAAAATAGTATTTGTAAACTCAATCTTTCTTTTAAAGATTTTTTATTTATTTATTTTTAGAGAGGGAATGGAGGGAGAAAGAGAGAGAGAGAGAGAAACATCAATGTGCGGTTCCTGGGGGTCATGGCCTGCAACCAGGCACGTGCCCTGACTGGGAATCGAACCTGTGACACTTTTGTTCACAGCCCGCGCTCAATCCACTGAGCTACGCCAGCCAGGGCGGGAATCTGCTTTTTAAAAAAATAAGTACATTTCATCATCACGGAGAGTGTGTGTTCCCAACACAGAGTAGATGGCTATAGCCCAACTTTGGGGAGGTGGGAGGAGCTCGGGGAACCCTCACACGAATGCTGGGTGTCTGGCTGTGGGGACCGTCAGCCCCACTTTGCCCCTCCGGCCTCAGTCCCCACCACGCCCAGGCTGGCCACTTTCACCCTGAAACTGAACATGCTGGTTCACTCAAGTTGCTTTTCTTTCCCACTCGGTTTGCTCCTAGAGTTCCCTCTGCTTGATCTGCAGGCTCCGGAAGACCCCCACCCCACTTACTTCGGAGGGGTGAGAAGCGGTTTGGTAAGGAAGCTGGTTGCCCTGACAAAGCTGGATCCTCGCTGGCTTTAACTCCTGGACAAGTTACCTTAATCTCCCCGTGTCTACTTTTTTTTCCGTCTGTGAAATGGTGGTGACTGTACTATGTCCTTTGTATGCCTGTTATTAGACACGAGCCTCAAAGTGATTAGAGCTGAGCAATTTTGTTACTGTCTCCATACCCTCCCTTGGGCACTCCTAACGTTTGCACCTCATCACCACGCACAGTCCTGGTGGACCTGCAGTCGGACTGCCTGGTTTTCCAGGGATGTCAGACTCATTTTCACCTGGGGCCACATCAGCCTCCGGGTTGCCTTCAAAGGGCCGAATGTAATTTTGGGACTGTGTAAATGTAACTACTTAACTAGGGGCAAGGAGCTCCGTGCTGCCTCAGGGTAGAAACAAGGTGCCGGGTTGGATAAAACAAGGCGGAGGGCCAGATTCGGCCCGCGTGGTGCCTGCCCCCTGTGCTCTAGACGCTGACACTGTTTCTCTACGTGTGCATGCCTCAGTTGCTCTCTCCGTGCATCAGTGTCCAGCCATTGAAGGATGAGCTGGGTTCGGGCCTCCCCTCTGTCACCCAGGTGTCCGGGTTGGGGCGGGCTCGCATGGGCCAGGACTCCGTGGGGCGGGGCGGGGCGGGGGAGGGTACCCACCACGGTCCCAAAGGAAATTGAGTGCATTGCTGCTAAATTTGGAAACTTCCGGGGACCCCAGGGTCGTTTGTCGCCCACTGTGACGAGGAGCACACAGGGGATGAGGCACCGCTTGGAGCAGAAGGGACCCGCGACGCCCTGCCCTGCTGCGACCGCCCTTAGAGTCGGCTAAGTTTTGAATGAGAGCACGCCGCAGACCAGCACCGCGGAACCTGTGGTGGGCCTACTGCGCCGGCGCGCGTAGCGCTGCGCCCCCACACAGGCGGCTGGGGCCCGCTGCGCCAGCGCGCGGAGCAGTGCATTTCGGGACATGTAGTTTTCCTGCCGCGCTGCGGGATCCCTGCTTGGCCTCCCCACGGGGCACACAGCTTCTGCGGCTCGGAGCGTAAGTGGGTGACGTTGAGTCAGCGGGTTCTGTCCTGAATCCCGAGGGCTCTGGGGGGCGCTGGGGTGTCCGGCGGGCGACCCTGCGTTCGCGCCTTCTCTAGAAGGCCCGCCAGTCGGCCCCCGGCCGCGCGGCGCCGGCTCCCGGGTAGGAACTGGGGGGTGACGGCAGCCAAGGCCCCCAGCCGCCTGCCTACCTGGCAGGACCCTCCGGCGCCGCGAAGTCCGCCGACCGGGGCTGGGGGCGGTGTCTTTAGGCTGGCGCGCCGCCCGGGAGGGGCCCGTGGTGGGTGCTGGCCAGAGGCTGTTGGTCTCGGAAGGGTTTGGGGGGGCGGGCGAATGTTCTGGGCGCCCTGTTCCGTGGAAGGGTGGGGGAAGCAGTGGCCGCCTGTGGTCCTCATCCTCGGATATGGGCGGGGCAGGTGCTGCTCCCCACATGTCGGGCATGAGAGACCGTGGCCGGATTATAGAGCATGCCAGGTTGTCTCAGCCAAAACCTGGCGACAGGCCCTCTGAGACCCAGCCCCCTGGCGCGGAGAACCCCGGCTGGCCCGGGGGTGGCGCTCCGAGGTCCACCAAGGGATGCCCAAGGGGTCCACCTGGGACCCCCTCCTCCCCGCACCTACTTCATGCAGGTGATTGGGTGAGAGTTTGGTGGAAAGGGTAGAGATGGGACCGAGAACAGCTTTGGAAAGCCCAGACTGAGGTCTCAGCCTCATGAATGCCTGGCAGGAGTTGAGACTCGGAGAGGGAGAGACACTCTTGAATCGCTAAGTGCGCCAAGAAGGCAAAGTCGATGACGGGCCCTACGTGGTCCGTGTTGCTTTATCAGCAAATAGCTCTTCTGTTTTTTTGAGAAATCTGGCAAAGAAAAATATCAGGATTTTTTTGCAGGAAAGGAAATAGAACTATTTCTATCTAAGCCATTATTTTCTAGTATTCGTCTAAGAGTGAATCCTTCCAGGGGAAGCTGAAAATTTCCTGCCCTCTGATTGGTTTTGTGCCTCAGAACTGCCCCCCCGTTGTTGGCCTCGCGGTTCCCCCTCAGACACCAACCGCCTCCCACTTCTAATTTCGCAGGAGGTGTGTCCATGGCAGGGGGCAGACAGCCTGCTGCTATTTTTAGCTCTCTGGGCCCTCATCAGCGGCAGTCCTGCAGGCAGCTGCAGACCGTCGCAGAGCTGGAGCCTGTAACTGGGGACCCCGGGGAGCCTCTAGTTGGAGGCAGTGGTGAGGGGGCACCTCACTGATCCGTCCTCTGGTCCCCCCCCCACCAGGCCCCTTCCACTGTCTGCAGGTTGACGTTCAGTGTCTCTCTCCCAAGGAGCTTGAACTTGATCATTCCAGGGATGCAGGCCAGGCAGCTGCCGGTGTGTTGTTGCAGTCCGAGTCTGGGATACCCGAGAGGGTGGAGACTTCTGAACTCCAGAGCTGCAGAAGCGCTCTCCAGAGTCTGATTTTAAAAAGGAGAGCGCTCGGGGGCACAGAGGTTTATGACCGGCCCCAGGTCACACGTCCCGCCCTGGGTGCCACCAAGACTCAGGTCCAGATGCCCATGCTCCTGGCCCTCCGGCTCCTTGCGCCCTGCCTGCTGTCCTCGGTGGCTGCATCTTGCCCTGGAGGCCACCTGTTATTTCTTCGGCTTGGCCAGTAGCGGAAGGAAGGAGAGGCGTCTCGCAACCGTGAGGGTTGCTCTTTATCTGGCCCTTCCACATTTGAGCGTGAGCTTAGCGTGCGCCATCCGGTCTCGGAGGAGACATCACAGGCGAGGGAGCGGAGGCGCACGAGAGGCCACGTGACTTGTGCAGCGTCACCCCACTCGTTGATGTAGCACAACAGACCCTCCCACAAGGTCATTTGGCTCGTGTTTTCTCATTGTAACTTCGATGAGATGTTGTGGGAACCTAATTCTTACTTGTATCATCGAGCCTCTTGTAAAACTGGTTCCAATGTATGTCGTTTTGCTTCACGTGGCAGAACCCATAGACCGTGTTCCGTGAGGACTCACCGTATGTGTCGGCTAGAGGGCCAGACCCCTGGGCGTCCTTTCCCATGTATTTCCCCCTGTGAGTGTTTTGGACTTGTGTGTTGTCCTTGACCTTGGGAATCAATGTCTTACATCAGTTCCTTAGGTATGTAGGGAGAAACAGCCGAACTCTCCTACTCTGTACGCAACTTGATTAAAGGGGGTGTAAAAATAAACTCTACACGACTGTAGCCATTGTATTTTAATAAACACCCTGGCTAATGCCCGCGACTCTGAGAGGTCAGGCAAAGTGGAAATTATAGCAACAGGTCACATAACAGGGTCGGGGTGTGTTCCCTCGGGTCAGACTCTGCTGCCCCCTAGAGGCCGACAGGAGACGAGGCGCTCCGTGTCCTCCTGTCACACAGATCTGGGGCGTGGACTCCTGCCGTGAGCTTATCTGACCTTGAGACAGTCACGGGGAAAACTTGACTATCTTGTGCCAGCTGCCAGCTTGTTTTCAAGATGCCATGACCTTGAGTAGAGGAGGCATGAACTTTTTCTATGTAGATGCTTTTACGTCAGGGAAAGTGATTTTGAGACATTGCCCCTGAAGTTCATCTTTCTCGCGCCATCCTGAAGGCCTGCGTGACTTCCTGCCGCTTTTCCGCGTTTGAACTGCGAGCGCAGGAAAGAAGACCCCTCACCACCGGCATCAGGACGGGACTGGGGGCCGTGGGCGGGGCCGAGTCCTGGTCCCGCTGCGGGGGGGACCTGGCCGTGTCACCAGGCTCCCTGCGCCGGGTCTCTGCAGCGGAGACTGGACCGTCCCCCAGGGGCCGGTGTGCAGACTGGACTCTTCAGTGCCCCGGCGGCCGCGCGCCAGCCTGGCTGGGCGCCCTGGAGCGAGGCTCTGCTTGCCGTGCTGGAGTCTCCACGCTTCAGGAGGACTGGGGTCCTGAGCCCGTCTAGCTGACCGCCCCGTGTCTTCATTCACAGATGGACCGAGGCCCCGCCGAGAGGGGAGCCACTCGCCAGAGCGTGTAGAGTCCTCGTCCAGAGCTCCAGCCTCCCGAGTCTCGGGGTGCGTGGCACAGCCTAAAGACAGTGACCCGTGCGGCCTCAGAGCGAGTCCTGTGCTCCGGCGGTGTCCCTGCCTTGTCCCACCCCGCCTCACCGTCCCCGGGTGTCCCCCACCTTTAGAGGGAATTCCAGATCGGACTCAGAGCTCGCTGTCGGCTCGCAAGCCCTCTCTCCGTGGGAGAAGGCCTCCCCAGCGGGTGCTCCTCGGAGCCCGAACTGACGTGTCTCCTCTCTCCCTCCAGACCGGCGCGGCCTGAGCCTGACCGTCCGGCTCCTGCTCCCCATGTGCCCGTCCCCCGCCCTGCAGTGACCGGGAGCGGCGTCACCGTCGGTCCAGCATGAACTGGAAGGTGACAGTAGATTTAGACATGGATGGCTCGGGTTTGCTCTTTCTCCTGATTGTAAGAATTCAGAGTAAGAAAAAGCAGACTCAGGAAGGAAGCATAACAATAGCTAATGTTTTACTTTACAAACCCATCGGGGTGAGGCCCGCCCGGTCTGTGAGCATGAGGGTGACCCCACAGGAGCACCCCCCACCTTGTCTGGGGGGACTCTGCAGTCACACCACAAGCCCCCGGTTACCGGTCACATCCCCAGTTACCGGTCACGTCCTGCTAGTCCTGTCTGCACGGCTAGTGTAGGGTTTGCCTGCGTGCTGCTGTTCTCCCTGGAAGTTCATAGTCAGACCCCCTGGTGGGCGCAGAGAGTGAGTGTGCAGGCCCCCGGCCACTCCCCAGACTTCGCCGCAGCCGGAGGCCCCCACGTCCCTTCCTCAGGGAGTGCCGGGGTCGGTGCCTAGGTGTCTGGTCCAGGTTCGAGTTCTGATGCATTGTTTTTGCATCTGTTCTACCTTCGGTGCCAGCGCCACTGCGCGGCGGGAGCCGGGGGAGGTTGTGGGGTGTGCGGTGAAGCGGGGAGTCCAGAAGGCAGGTCCAGCCCAGCCTCCCTTCGCAGGCGAAGAGGCAGAGCTGGGACTGGTCAGGTGGGGCCGCGGGCTGTCCACTCTGTCGGCAGCAGAGCAGAGCTGTGTCCCAGGTCCCCTGGCCATGGCTCCTTCTGCTGGGCCATGCCACCGCCTGGAAGCGAGGGCCTGGGCAATCGGCCCAGCGCACGGTCGGGCTGCGAGGAATCGGGGTTATTAGGTTTGCCGTCCGCCGGTGGGCTGTCCGCCGGTGGGCCTCCCGTGGAGCCTGGAGCCAGGGGACGGGAGGGCGGAGCTGAAACTAGGCCGTCAGCAATGCGGGGACAGGGACCTCGCCAGTCCTCGCCCAGCGCGGGCTGCTGCGCCGTGGGCGTGCGGGGAGTGCTGCACGGAGACCGCCCAGACGGCCCCTTTCCCCCTCAGGTTCTGGAGCACGTGCCCCTGCTGCTGTACATTTTGGCGGCCAAGACGCTGATCCTCTGCCTGGCGTTTGCCGGGGCCAAGATGTACCAAAGGAAGCGGCTGGAAGCCAAGCGGCAGCAGCTGCAGGCGGAGAAGAGGAAGCAGGCGGAGAAGAAGGACGACTGAGGGGAACCCACAGGTACCAGCTCCGCAAGTGCGGGGTGCACGGGGCTCGGGCGGCCGGTCAGCGCGTTGCATCCCTCGGGGCTGAGGCCGATCCTGACCCCTGCGCCCTGCCCGCCCCGGAGCCCCGCTGCGGGGCCCTCCCCCATCCGGGGCAGGGGCGCTGGGTGGGGGAGGGGGCAGGCCCGGGAGAGTTTCAGGGACACTGCAGGCCTTCCCAGGGGAGCGCACCCACTAGAAGCACCGGTACTTGTATCTGACACTGCTGGCCGAGGCGGGGGGTGGGGTGGGGGGGTCCCCGTGTGAAACCCCTGCCGTGGCTGGGACTGGGAGACCTTGCCCCCCCTCTCTAGGGTGAGGCCTGACTTCCAGGTACGGCATCGACGTCCCTTGGGGTGCACCCTCGTCCCCGCCACGCTGTGCCCCTGCAGCAGACGCCCATACCCCCTGTGCAGTCTTTGCACGTGGGTCCCACAGCCAGAGGGTCCCTCCCGAGGGCCTCCCGCCAGTGCCCGCCCCAGCGCACACCGGCCTCGCCCAGGACACGTTTGTCGAGCTGGGGCCCCAGGAGGTCGTCCTCCAGCCCCCTTTCAGGTTGGACAGGTGACAGCGAGCCGGCCCGTCCCTCCCTGACCGAGTTCAGGGCTGTGCTGCCGCGGGCATGGGGGGCTCAGCTGGGGGCCGGGGTTCCCGAGGGGTTTTCCCCAACGCTGCAGCTGTGGGTCAGTGCTGCCTGCGGGGGGCTCGTTAAAGTGCGGGTGCCTGGCCCCCCGCCTGCCAGGGGTCCCAGCAGGACGAACACCCGTTCTTTGGAAAACCCGTCCCGCTCTCAGCAGCAAGGGGCCAGGGAAACTCCTGGGTGGGGGCCTCCAAACCCCCGTGTGCCCGGGGCCCACGAGTTGGCAGACATGGGGTCTCCAGTGGGTGTTTGAGACTCGCTGGGGCGAAAAACACGCTTACGGGGGGTGATGGTGCTGTTACTAGGCCTGAGTGGTTTGCAACCCGCCTCACACCCCGCGGGGCAGCCCCTCCTCCTGCCGCCGCTGAGAAGGCCATTCAGGTGGAGGGCCGGCCGGGCCCCACCGCCCACGGTGCAGCCACCGTCCTCATCCTCACGGGCAGACGCTCGGGTGCAGGCGGAGGGAGCACGTCCTCCCCCGGCCAGCGGCCCCCATGGGCTGAGGGGAGGCCGCCCACACAGCGTCGCTGAGTGAGCTTGCCTGTGACGCCTTGGAGGGGAGGGGAGCCCGCCACCAGCACTGCTCCCCCACCCACGGGGGCCCAGAGGTGCAGGGCGGTGGGGCAGACAGCGGGGGGCCGGCCCCTCCGAGGCTGCCGGCTCACCAGAGCCTGGCTTTGAACTAACGGGACTTTTCCGTGGGAAGGAAATGGTGGTGGTGGAAGCTCAGGAAACATAAAACCTTCTCTGAAGGGAAACAAGTTCACCGATGAACAACGAGTGTTGGTGGTCTCTATGGGGTCGCAGTGGCTGCCTTCCCCCCACTCACCGCCGGGTCTTGCTCCCCAGGCTCTGCGCGCGACCTGCCGGCCCCGGGACTCCGGCCCAGGGGGAGGAGAAGAGACGCCTGGCTGCCCAGCGACGTTATCAGAAGACGAACCTCCGGCCTTCAGCTTTAACTCAAAATGATGTGAACTGTTGCGTGCTTTTAAAAGAACCATGTTTTCTTGGGTAAAATAAAACACCTTTGTAATAGGGGTGTGTCTCTGCTCTTTGGAACGGGCCGTGGTAGAGTGTACGTGTGTCTGTTTTTGTGTCCCACGCACGGGTGTGCAGACCCGGAGCTGTGAGAGCGGGGGCTTCTGCACCCCCACATGCAGGGGACCGGCTGCAGACGTGGGTGGTGGGGCGGGGCTGGGGGCGGGGCTGAGGTCGTGGCTGCGCCCTGACCCCCCTCCACTCTCTGGCCTGCCACCCTCTGCACGGGCCCCTCCCCACTCCTGCCTGCGAGGGGGCCCTTCTGCCTGATTCCACTGAGGAGGGGGTGGGGCGCCCGTGCAGGGCTGGTCCTGGACACTTCAGTAACCACGGAGGGAGCACCTCGGGGGGAGCCGGGTCGGGCCCAGCGGAGTGAAGCAGGGGTTGGTTCCCACGGCCCCAGTCCCGGCAGTGAGCCCTGAGCTGCCACTTCGGGGCGGTGGGCGGGGGGGGGGGGATTCCTTCTACTTTGTCTGAAGTTCGTGGTGGGGTCCCCGCTCCTCTCAGCCTGGAGCCACTTGTCACACGAGCTCCGTGCCCGCTGCCCTGCCTGCGTGCCAGGGCTTGTCCAAGAGCCGAGCGAGGTCAAGTCTGTGAAAACGGCTTGTGTTCGTGAGATGAGGGGGAGAGCGCCTGGGTGGGCACAGCCCCCCGCCAGCGGGCCGGCGTGGCCCCATCGACCCCGTCGAGCCCGGACCTTCTCAGGGGGGCAGGGCCCCGGCCAGCGGCCTCCGGCCCACTGACCCACACACGTGTGGGCACACCAGGGCGGCACCTGCCACCCCTGGGTCACCCCTGGGTCACCCCAGCTCCTGGGGAGGGAGGGAGTGGGGCTGTGGTCGATGTGGTTGCTGGTGACACGGGGGCCAGAGAGGCTGGTCTTCCCTCAGCCAGTCCGGGAAGGAGGACAGAGCCAGGGAGGCCGTGAGGCCTGTGCGGGGACCCGCCCCACAGCAGGACCCCTGTCACTGTCACCCACCATTCATCCCCCACAGCGCACAGCACGCGGCTGCCCCCGGAGACACCCTGGGCTGCACCCACCGGCCTCCCCCCTCCCTGTGCACCCACGGGAGAGGCCGAGTAGCACCGTGCAACTGCTCGCCCACTGCGGGGCCTCAGAGGCCCCAGCCGAGTGTCCTCCGGTCAGAGCACCCTGGGTGGGCTCCTCTCATGCCCGGGGATGGAAGGAAGGGCTCCCCCCAGTGGTGACATGGGAGCGAGGCCAGTGACACGAGGCCTGTGTGTGGGGGCACGCTCTCCGGCCCTGGACTGGAACAGGCACAATGGGGGGGTGCACCCCGAGTTCTACAGCCCCAGCCCCAGTTCACAGTGGTTCACCCGGCCGCAGGGAAGCAAAGCAACGTGTCCGCAGACTCGCAGTCACTGCACTGGGGACTCGAGACCCCATCTCGGCCCCTCCAGCTCCCGGAGCACGGGGCTTCCTCTGCCAGAAGCTTCTGTGCTGAGTGCGCGGCGGCGGCGGCGTCTCCGAGCTGTGAACGCGGCATAACCACATTGCACGCTGAGGCTGTTGCTCTCCAACCCTGCTCACGTGGAGTTGCCCTTCCTCCCTGGCCTGCCCGCCCGCCGCCCCCCCCCCACCCCGCCCCCGTCAGACGAGGCCGCACGGGAGCCGAACCCCCAGCTCGTGCTGCGAGATGGTTTTGGTTTTCAAATAAAACAGCTCTTGTTGGTCCGTCTCGTTCAGCCGACAACCTAAACCCTTCTCTTCCCGCGCTGCAGGACCACATGGCTTTCAAAGGCGCCCGGCCACCCGCCGGGTTCCACGCTGAGGCTCGTGTCCAGCATGGTGCCCAGCCGGGGGGCGGCCGCTCTGCCGTCGTCTAGGTGACGGTGGTGGAGAGCCCAGCTCGGCCGCCGGGCGGGCGGCAGAGGGAAGGGGCTTCAGGAAGGCAGCCAAGCCCAGTGGCGAGGCCTGGGGGCGTTTGGCACGTGGCCTCAGGGACCCCTGTGTGTTTCCTTGTCTGTGAAACAGGGGAGACAGAGACCCCGCCCAGTGGGGTCGTCTCGGGCATTCAACGAGCCGCTCGTCGGTGGAGGCGGTGTGAACACGACTGCACGCGCGAGCCTGGATTTGAACCGCAGCCCCCCTCCGCCCTGGAGCAAGTTCCAGAATCTTCCTGGGCCTCAGTTTACCCCCTCTGACAAATGGGGATGGTTATAGCTCCTGCGTCACAGACTGTGGGGACAGTCGGATGCGTGAAGCAGGTGTGGCTGTCCGTGCCGCTGACCGCAGATCCGGGCAGGTGTGCAGCACAGGTGATGCTGGGCAGGGCGCGCGCCCGGGGGTCCCAGCCCTCGCCACGGGGGCCTGCGCGGCGTCGCGTGCCCAAGTCACCCGGGAGGCTGGAGTCTTACCACCGCCCTGAAGGAACTTAAGTTCTGGAACATGCGAGGGGGACCCTCCAAGACGGAATTTACTTATAAAAAACTCTGTGTTTATTCTTACAGGTTTGAACTTCAGTCACCTTCAAAGTACTTTCCATGTGATGGGATGCACCTGTCCAGATGTTTTTTTCCCCACAGCTCTGAACGCATTGATTTGTCTGCCTTTTAGTGCTCCTGCTGTTTTTGTTTTTTTTTTGTTTCAGTTCTTGCACATCAGAAAACGTTTCCCTTTCAAGACTTTTTCATTTTGGGAAACAAAGTCACCCAGGTCGAGATTGGGTGAATAGGGAGGGTGGGGCCTGGGGGTCATGCCGAGTTTGGTCAAAAACTGCTCAACACTCAGTGCGGTGTGGGCAGGTGCACTCCTAAATTACCCCTCAGGAAACGGGCAGATGAGTCTTCAAAAAAAATTCGCTGAAGCCAAACACAGCCTCTCACAACAACACCAGCTGGTGCACAGATACAGATAATCTGGCGGGTGCCTAGAACACTCCCCCAGCAAGGAAGCCGGTACCGCAAGGGGCCCGCTCTCTAGAAGATAATCCCGGGGTTTATTTGGGGTGCCCCTCCTTCATGAAACAGGTCATGGAAAGACCACAGAAACACACCGCAACCGGTCCCGTTCACCGGGGTCCCTGCCGGTGGGCCGTGCAGCTGGGGTCGGCTGCGTAATGGTCCCCTGAGATCTAATCCCCGGAACCTGGGAGTGTGACCTTGTCTGGACAGAGAATCTTTGCAGGTGTGATTAAGGATTTGGGGGTGATTCTGGGTTATCGGGGTGGGGGTGGGGCTAAGTGCAATCAACAAGTGTCCTCACGGGAGAGAGGCAGAGGGAGATTGACACGGAGGAGGAGGCAGGGGTGTGGCCAAGGAGCCGGAGACTGGAGAGATGCTGACTCAGTGGCCCTGACTTTGGGCTTCAGCCCCGGGAGCTGGGAGAGAGTGAGTTTCCGCTGTTCAGGCCACCGGGAGTGGGGCCCTTGGCCCCCGTGGCCCCAGGGAACTGCCAGCGCTGCTGGCTGTCCGGTGGGGCGGGCAGCCGTCGAAGGTGCCCGGCTCCCTGGTTTGAGGCCTGGCTCTGCAGGTGCGTTCCCGCCCCAGGTAAATGCAAGCAACAAAATGCTTTAGAAGCCCATCACGTCGCTGCTGAATAGCACCGAATATGCATCTTTACCAGACACGGTATTTCTTTCTTTTTTTAAATTTTATTTTATTTTTAAGATTTTATTTATTTTTAGAGAGGGAAGGGAGGGAGACAGAGAGAGAGTAACATCAACGTATAGTTGCTGGGGGTCATGGCCTGCAACCCAGGCATGTACCCTGGCTGGGAATCGAACCTGTAACGCTTTGGTTCGCAGCCTGCACTCAATCCACTGAGCTACACCAGCCAGGGCCATTTAACTTTATCTTAATTGTTGTTGAAGTACAATTCTCTATCTTTTACTCCCATGCCAGCCCACCCACCCAGCCCTCCCCTCCTCCCTCCCATTTCCACCCGTCCCCTAGTTTTTGTCCATGTGTCCTTTATATTTGTTCCTGTAAACCCTTCCCATTCTCCCCTGAAATTCCCTCTCCTCTCCCCTCTGGTCACTGTCGTCCTGTCCTCTATTTCAGTGCCTGTGGTTATATTTTGCTTGTTTCTTTGTGTTGCTGTTTAGGTTCCTGTTAACGGTGAGATCATCTGGTGTTTGTCTTTCTGAGCCGTGCGGGGGGGTCCCGCAGAGAAGCAGGGTGGGGAGGTGGGCAAAGGGGCCAAGGCCCCTGGGCTTGGCTGTCAGGGACCCGCCCCCCTGAATCCCGTGTGTGGGGGAGTCTGTTAGGACTGGGGGGATGTTTTGGTGAGTCACGTCTGACACCCCATTACGCTGACTTCCATGGTGAAATTGCTGCCCAAACATGTACACACGAGAGTGAACTTTACGTTTAATCGGAACCAGGGCCTTCTCTGTAAAAGTGGAAACGACTGCCCAACCCTCACGACCTGCATGAGCGGCCGCCCCAAACCTGAACTGGGTGCTCTGGTCCCAGCCGGGGGGGCCCTGGTGCCGGAGCCCAGGACGCCAGGCTGGTTGGGGGCCTTGGAGTTGGGGTGGGACACAGGCTGGGTAGGTGGGGTCTGCAGACCCCTGCCCATGTCACCTGTTCACCCACCGAGTGCCCCCTGAATCAGTCACTGTCTGGACGGGGTGTCACCTTCATGGGGGCCCCTGGCACCTCCTCCACCACTTCGCCTTCAGGCAGCAGGAAGGGCAGGGCCTGTCCAGCCGCTGTCCGGGTCACGTCTGTGCAGATGGCCCGCTGGTTCCCTGTGCAGGACTTGGGGGCGCTGACCCCCTGCTGAATGTTGACTTTCGGGGGGACTGTACGCGTGATTCTCTTTCTGTCCGAGACCTGGATTTGCACCACACACCCTCAGGGTCGCTCACCCCTGCTCCCCACCAAGCTCCCGTGCACTGGGCGGGCCTGAGCTGCCCCCCTGTGGTCACCCTCGGCATCGCCTCAGCCAGACGGAGGCCGAGACCCCTGCCGGACCAAGAAGCTTTAATGAACGGCAGCGCCCGGCCCTCGCGGCCCGCCTGGGGGTCGCGGTTGTGTCCTTGGCCGCAGCGGTCCTGGCGGAGCCCAGCCCGGGGGCGTCAGGTGGGGAAGACCACGCCCCCTAGTGCGGCCGACTGCCTGTCTTGGGGGGGCCTCCCCCTTAAGAAAACTTCCCCAGGTAGTAGTTCTCCCACCTCCGCACTTTGCTGACCAGGGCCCTCCACTTGCTTGGGGTGACCCTCTCGATGCCCCTGCCGATCAGGTCGCCCAGGAGGATGTACTGGTAGGAGTAGATGCCGCCGATGGACTGCAGGCAGAACTCCCGCCGGCTGTTGATGATGAACCACTTCAGCGAGGACCAGGCCGCGTCCAGGGGGCTCAGGTAGACGGACGGGGGAGGCAGGGAGAGCAGCTCGTGGCCGCAGGACCTGGCCACCTCCAGGCGGCACTCGATGCTCCTGAGCGGGATGACCGAAGGGATGCGGTCCCTGGCCTCGGGCTCCCGGTCCTCCTTCGGCCGGGCCGCGTCCAGCTGCTGCCGCCGCCGCTCCTTGACCACGATGGCGCACTTCCCGTAGGCCTTCCTCACCACGTCGCAGAACTCTGGGAACAGCCCGTCGTCCCTCCTGACGCACAGCTCGTCCCTCAGGAACAGCCGGTGGCGCCAGGGCACCCAGCCCTGGACGCCGCCCGCGTGCACGATGCACCAGGCGGGGCCCGGCAGGAGGTGGCCCTGGCTGGGCTCCTCCCCAGTGACCAGGCTCTCGGAGACCTCAGTCTCCCCCAGGTACACGGTGGTGAACCCGTCGTACTGTAGGGCGCGCAGGGTCCTCAGGTACTGCAGGCACTGCTTCCGCCTGTGGCCGTCGGAGGGGCTTCTGGCGACGAGGTGTCTGAGCAGCGGGTTGGGGAAGCGGGGCATGGCGGCGCTGCTGGCCGGGCGGGGAGAGCCTGCCCGGCCCCCCGTGTTCCGGGGTTCCGGCGGGAACGACGAGGTCACAGAGGGCTCCCTGGCAGCCGGCCCGCCCAGCCCTGCAGACACACCTGGGGTGGGGAGGCGTGGCGGAACAGGTGCCAGGGTGAGCGCCCTCCAGCTTCTGCGACGTGACAGACGGGGATGAGACGTGTCACCCGTGTGCACGGTCTCTGCCGTTGCTCCCGCCAGCGGCCTGGGACAGAGACGGGCGGTCGTACCCGTCTGTCTGCCGGGGCTGCCGCAGCAGAGCCTCAGAGCCTGCTCCACTGACACGACAAGATCATTGTCCCCCAGCTCCGGAGGCTGGAAGTCCAGGATCAAGGTGCGGGCTGGGCTGGTTTCTCCTGAGGCCTGGCTCCGTGGCGTGCAGGCGGCGCCTTGTCCCTGTGGCCTGCAGTCTTCCCGCTGCTGTGGGCGCAGGTTCCCGTCCCAGCGTCCGCTCCTGATGAGGGCACCTGCCAGGCCCTGGAGGCGACTGGGGTGGAGTCCGGAAGCCTCAGAGGGAGCCACACAGAGGACTCGGGGCCAAGCCAGCAGCCACCCCTGCTGTGGAGGGGGGTGCTGGTGCTGGTGTTGGGGAAGGGGACGCTGGTGTTGGGGAGGGCATGCTGGTGCTGGTGTTGGGGAGGGGGTGCCTGTGTTGGTGTTGGGGAGGCAGGTGCTGGTGTTGGGGAGGCAGATGCTGGTGCTGGTGTTGGGGAGGCGGGTGCTGCTGACACTATCTGCAGAGACGCCATCTGCACCCCAACCTCACCGTCCAGAGGGAGGCCCAGCCGGCACACGGGTGGCAGGGCAAGGACTGAAACCTTCACTCTGCGGCGGCCAGATGCCCAGAGGCCCCCCTGCCCCCCACGCCCTCCCCCATGCGGCCGGCCCCGTGGAGGCTTCCTCTCCGCGGATGCGCGGCCCACCCACCGGGGCTCTGAGGGTCCGGGAGATCAGGAGGCCTCTCCAGTCTCCTGCCACTTGCGAGGTTTCGGCGGGGGCAGGAGGGACACATCTCCGTGACGACTCACAGGGCAGCACCTTGACCCCTTCCCAGGTCAGCAGACACGACGTCGCCCGGCCGGAAGTCGCCCCCACTGCCCGCCTTCCCAAAGACGGCCTTCTCCATCAGACCCCCCGCTTTCTGGAAAACACTTCCTTCCGCGGCCAGGGAGCTGGTGTCCCACGCGGCACCCTGGTTGGCTCAAGTCCCTGGGAGACGGAGAGGGAAGACACCCCAGCGCGGGAAGCGCTGCCCCAGCTCCACCGGCGACTCTTCCACCTGGCGCCCAGCCCGCGTGCCGCAAGAAAAGGGAATGTTTGTGAGCTGGTCAAACCCCGCCCCCCTAACACCCCCAATAAAACCAGAACAGTCGCCCCACCTGTCCATGGCCGTGTGCCTGGGCTGGTGGGGCCTTATTCCGCAAACCCAGCCGTGCGGGAGACGCCACGGCCATCTGTTTAAGTCACACCCACCGGACTCGGCCTTGTTGGGGCTCTGCGCCTGGCTCCCCACACCGGAGCGGTGTCAGGGCCCCGAGGCCACCCTTCTGTTCTGGACACCACGGGCGCCAGGTCCAGTCCTGGAGGCCCCGACCCTGGAGTGCTGCTGGTGCTGCGACTGTCCAGGCCAGGATCAGGCCCCTAACCAACCCTAAAAGCAACTGTGTATAAACGTGCATCTCATGCGCCTGACCCAGAGGGCAGGGCATCGGGGGCGCGGCAGATGGTTCTCTTGTCGCCTGAGGCAGGGCAGCCGCAGTGAGTGAGGGGCCGCCACGGATGAGCTCTTTCCTGTTTCACAGAAGCATCAGCAGCAGCACCACCAGCACCCCCTCCCCAACACCGGCACCAGCATCCCCAACACCAGCACCGGCACCAGCATCTCCAACACCAGCACCGGCACCAGCCTCCCCAACACCATCACTGGCATCCACCTCCCCAACACCAGCACCAGCATCTGCCTCCCCAACACCAGCACCAGCACCCGCATCCCCAACACCACCAGCCCTGTGAACACCAACCACCACCACCACCACCACCACAAGGCTTATTTTATGCATTTATTTTTCTTTTCAAAATGCATTCATATGTATGGTCTCATGAGCTCCTATCTGCTTTGTAAGATTCACAGAACTGGCCTTATTGCCCTTGTGTTATCTGTACTGAGGTAACATTCACACCTAAGGGGTAGATAATGGCAATCAGACTAGAGTTTGGTTCTTCTGAGTCCAAAACTCAGTCTTTTCTCCAGTGGATCCCACCCTTTAAAAGAAAGTGAAGAACTCCTAACTTCCGACAGTAATGACTTGGTTCCACTCCCACGAGAGAACGGCCCCGTGGGACCCTACACCCCAGACCCGCGTGTCCCAGGCGAGCCGCCGGCCACTCCAAGTGCACGTAACCCCGTGAAGTTGAAGTCCACCCAGGGCACTGGGCTCCCAGTCCAGCCTTCTCTCTGCGATGAGAAGCCACCCTCAGGGATACCCCGGGTGTCTCCCAGATTCCTCCGAGGAGAGTGGATGCCCCTCGCCCTCCCCGGGGCAGGGTGGGTCTGGCCAGAAGCTGCCGCCCCTGCTGCCTGTCCCAAAGCACCAGGGAGCCCGAGAAAGCCAGAGGATGCTGGTTTCGCCCACACGCCACCCACCGGAAGTGCCCGGGGCTCAGCCACGATCCTCCGGCCCCACTCGGGGGCTTGACCCCATCTCAAGGTTCCAGGTGAGCCCCACGCTGCCCTCCGCTGACCCCGCAGGAAGGCTGGGCCTGTCGTATGGGGACCTGCTTGCCTCGCCCGTTAAGGGATCCCCTGGATGTCGGTCTGGGTCCCGCTGGCCGCGCGCCTGGGCTCCGGGCTGGCCTGGGCGGGCGGCAGGGCGGCTCTGTTGCCGATGGTCAGCGCAGGGCACTCGGCCGCCTTGCCCGGGGGGCCCTCCTTCTTGAGTTCGGAGGTCAGGTTGGAGTAATAAACGTCTTCCAAGGATTTGTCGTTCTTTCTGAGGATGTTGCTGGCCAGCCGGAAGAGGAAGACCACGGCGTAGATGCCGATGATGGTGAGGATGTACCAGGCGGCGCCGGTCCCGTCCGGCAGCCTCAGGGCCCTGGTGGAGTTGGTGCCGTTCCTGCCCTCCAGCTGGTCCCTCAGCAGGGGCCCCAGGGCCGGGCCGGCCTGCGTCTGGCTGGGGGCTCCCAGCGGAGTGCGCTTGACCCCTGAGGAACAGAAAGACCCAGATGAGACCCAGCATCCCGGGCTGGGGGCTGCCCGGCCAGGCCCGTGACGGCGGTTGTCACATGGGTGGCAAAGGCGGGAGCGCCGGAAGAGGCCTTCCGTGCGGAGTGAGCAGGAGCCCGGCACATACGCGCCGACACGCTTTTAAGAATCCAAAGGGTTCAAAATGCCTCGTTTTGGAATAGGAGACAAAGCGTCAGAAAGATGCCACCTGTCCCTGAAGCCATCTGCACGACGAACTGCAATACAAATGTCAATAGAGTCTCTCTGGGGACTAGGCGGACTGTGCATACCGAAAAATTAACCGGCGAGACTAATGAGAAAGAATGTGGGGAAGAAAGGCTGGTGGATGGAAATCAGCCTAGCCAGAAATCTGAAACTAGCCAGTCAGGGGACTCATTGACATTTTGGGGGAGGAAGGACGATTCCCCTTGCCCACAGCGCAGCTGTGGCGTCCTGGCTCTGCAACGGGCGCGCAGGGCTTTACAGACTGGGGCGGAAGTGAGAGGAAGACGAACCGCTCAGTGAGCGCTGGGGCGATGCAGCGTTGGGTCCCCACCCCTCGCCTTAGGTGCAGAAACAGTGCTGAGAAACCTGAGATTTCAACAACAGCAACAACAACAAAAGAAACAAAGTAAAGTACTAGAAAAAAGCATGGTGGGTTTTCCCCTTTATCATCCCAGAGTAGGATCGCCCTCGCGAAGCACAAAAAATGCAAACATTCAGAGGGGGAAAAAAGAAGAAAAATGAAAGTAAATGTTAAATTCAGCTGCACAGGCACTTTAAAGTCATCGCATACTATAAAACCCAGAACAAGTGACAGACGAGGAAATTTACAATTCAGACCACTGAATTTCTCCTGATAACCCTTAGTTCTAGAAGACAAAGACAAACTCTGGTAGAAAAAAATATGCTGAGGATATGGGCAGTGAAGTTATAGAAAAAGAAATGGACCTCGAACGTGATAAAAGCATCATAATAAGAAAAACGCAAAGCAAGGCCACAATGAGATATCATTCTGCTGGCGGTCGGGTGTGCAAATTCACAACGTTTCACACACACTGTGCGGCCGTGTCTGCAGGGCGGGCGGGCGAGCCTCCGCTTGAGGGCGGGGGAGGGTGTGCATGCGCACGACCAGTCCAGAGGGCGCTGTGACACCACAAACGCACTCACCTCCGGTCCAGCTGTTGCCCCTGCACGGACCCCCCCTACCGGGGCGGCGGAACAGGCCTGGGGCCGAGCATGGTTGTGAGTCACTGCGGGGCAGGACGGCTCATGCTCAAGGGCAGCCTGAACGCATCGATGTCGGGGGTGGCGAATGCATCTCGGAAACTCCATGCAGCGGGACTGTGCGGCCGTGAAAATCCATGAAGGGTTTTTTGGGCACTAAGCATGAACAAGTAAACAGCGACCCAACCGCGATATACCGCGACGGTCGGACGTGTGAATAAAGCGGGGGCACCCTGTGTGCTTGAAGCTGGTGCTTGCGGAGATAAAATACCTCCAGGGGGGACGCGCGGGAAGTCGGTACCCGCGCCCGCCCACAGGGAAGAGGAGGGGGGCGCTGTGCTCGTCCCCGGCGGGCGCCGCGGAGCACAGCTCGTTGCCGCGCGCACTGATTTTCGGAAGGAAAGCCGTTTCAGACGCGCGAGTCCGGGCGGGCTCGCCCCCGGCCTCCGCGGGGCAGTGCCCTTGGGTGAAGACGCCGGCGCCTTTCCAAGGCCGGGAGATTGCGATCTCAACCGCTGTTTAACTGCAAACTGTTTTCTCTCCCAGAGGAGCCGGTGGGACCGGAGTGACCAAAGCCAGAGAAGGCGTGGGCGGACCTGGGAGGCGTCCCCCGCCCCCCAGCGTTCCCAGTTCCGACCCCCGTTCCTTGCTCTCAGCAAACGCAGGCGTGTGCGGGCGCGTCCCAGCGCCACCCCGCAGCCCGCGGCTGGGCGGACCGCAGGGACCCCACAAACGCTGCTCCTCCGTTGCTGGTTTGCTGCTCGTCCACTCCCCTGAGGCCAGGTTCGGAGCAGCTGCCGTTTTTTACGGTCTCGAACTGTCAGAATGCATGGATACCCTCGCTCCTGTCAGCGGAGGGGGAAACCAGTTAAAAATAACTCTGCAGATGGCCTCTGACAAAGCCCAGGGTGGCGGGTCTCACTAGGTAGGGTTGGTCGCTCATGAGAAACACTGTGACCGGCAGGAACGCGACACCGCCGTCCGCGGGGTGTTTGTGGACTTCAGGCGAAGAAGGAAGGGGTTCCCCACGGTCGCGAACAAACAGGTCGCCCCGGCGGCGAGAGCGCCGTAAGCCTAACGAGGGCCACAGGACATGTTTAAACCTGGAGCGCACACGTACACAAAACGCCCTGCGAATTGTTCTAGAATGACGGGATGTGTCACGCGCGTCAAAAACACCCAATAAAACTGCACAACACTGAGTTATTTTAAACCCAGTCCTTTCTCCACGGGAGAGAGGCTCACTGTCTTAATGAGCGAGGCACGGTGTTCTCTGCCCTTCTGCTCTGAAAACAGGGGAGGGAGGGAGCGAGGGGGCGGCGTGGCGGGAAACCCCTTCCACCCGCGGCCCCCCGCACCTGCTCCGAGGTGAGGGACACGGCACCCCCAGAGCCGCCCGGCCTCGCGTGGCGGCAGGACACTCACCTGCCATAGGAGGCGCCTTTCCTCGACTCCCGGGAAGCCGGTGAAGGGGGGACCTCGCTTGGCAAAGGGTCACCAGGCCACTGGAGTCCCGCCGCACTGCAGCTCCTGCGTGGGGGAGGAACAGGACCCCCCCCCTCCCGGAAGGGCAGGGCAGCACGGAGCAGAAGAGCAGCAGAGACGACCTGGGAGAGCTGTCTCTCACTCAGTCGATCAGAGAATTGACCTCCAATGGTCTCCTGTCGCCTCAGGACAAACAGCGCCTCCCGGCTTCGGCCTGTGCGGGTCGGTCTGACGCAGAAGAACTGTTGAAACCAGGGCCGCACTGAGCCCTCGCCAGCCCCCCAGGCCCCACTGGCCCCGCGGCCGCGCGGCGCTGCCCCTGGGCTGGCCCACCCACCGGCTCACAGCCTGGGTGGTTCCTGATCTGCCCGGTTTCGCACCTGTTGCAGGTGCGGCACCCGGCCAGGTGTGGCGGAGGCCCCTTGTCGTGGGGCCAGGAAACTCCACGGACAGGGGTCACCGACTTCCTCCCAGACTGTGTCCTGGAGGCGAAAACCAGACAGGAAGGAGCGGGAGGACCAGCCGGGGGGACCGGGGGCTCCCCGCAGGGCTCGGCGGGCCTCGGGCCACGGTCCAGGCGGTGAGGAGGGAGTCCCAGGCGGACTGGAGTCGTGGCAGATGCATCCCTGCTCCGGAAAGGCCGGCCCCATTTCCCCGGAACCCTCGCCGAGACGACCGGGCCGTGCCGTGCCCGACTGGCGAGGGCTGTGGCTTTTCAGGAGTCATTTGATGCAGTTTTCATCAATGGAGGACCAGCGCAGTCAGTTATAAAATCGGTCATGTGATCGATCAGCAGTTCCGCTCCCAGTCCACCCCCGGGAGGAATGAAAACACGTCCAGACAAAGCCCGCACACAGGTGTCCCTGTAACAGCCGCGAGGCAGAAGCTGCCCCAATACCCACCCACCGACCAGTGAAGAAATCGAATGCAGGGTGTTCCTACAATGGGACATTATTTGGCAATAAAAAAATGACACCTGTTGCAAATTAGATACACCTTGGAAACACTGTGCTGAGTGAAAGGAGCCAGTTACAAAGGCCAACAGGTAGTGTGTTTCCATGTGTGTGAGATGCCAGAGATTGACGAGTCTGTACGGACAGAGGGGGTTCTGCTGTGGCCCGGGGCTGTGGGAGGAGTTTGAGGGAGCGGGCAGGGGGGTGTGAACCGACCCTGGTGCTGGTGGCGCGGCTCTGGGGATGCTCACAAGCCTCTGGACCGCACACTCTGGACGGGGGCGGGGGGCGGTGTGTTTGGCGTGGGGGTGACATTTGAACTGCGTCGTGTCGGTCTGCGGTGGGCACTGTGCAGCGGTGGAGGGGAATGAGGAAGTCATCTGTGTGCTGGCGGGAAAGGTCCCCTCTCCGGGATGTGCTGCTGACCCAGCCAGCAAGGAGGAAAGGGTGTCACATCTGCGGAGACAGGCATGGAGAGAACTGTACAGCCCTGACCTCGCTCGGGTAGGCACTGAAGGCCGCTTTAGGGACGCCAGGCCCCGAGGAAGGGCGGGCCCACGGTGGGGAGCCCTGGGCAGGAGGCGGGTGGCCGGGAGGCAGAGTCCTCGCTGTGTGTTCTTCATGCCCTAAAGGATTCGAACTCGGCGCTGTGTGTCCTGTTCAGCAGTTGGCCTAGCTGTCGGTTATATGAATCTCTGTCTGAGTTCTCTGCAGGCCCCTGCCCTGCCGTGGCCGGACCACAGCTCCGCCCCTGCGGTCCCAGGATGGGGGTCCCTATGCGGACCCCTGCGCTGTGCGCAGTGCCTGGGCGGGAGTCGGGGTCCCAGCTGTGCCCTCGAGTGCAACCCTGGGCAAGTCCCCGCCCTCTGGGAACTGCAGTTTCCTCCCCTGCAGGGTGGGGGGCCGGGATCCCACACCCACGGGTCCCAGGAAGGCAGGAGGAAGTGGGTGGGGCGAGGGGGTGCTCCTGTGGAGGTGTCTGATTGTGAGCGCTGCCCACGCAGGCGCCGCGGGGCAGGGAGGGGCCCGCCAGCTGGAGTCACAAGGCGGAGGCTGCAGAGGGAGCCACCTGGGAAGGCATGGGGCCTTGGCCTTCAGCCCGGCGGGGAGACAGCAGGAAAGGCGGCCGGTGGTCTCATCACGCTGCCGCCAAGGGCACGGAGGTGGGGGGCCAGCTCCGGGTCAGGAGCTCTTCTCTGCGGGGTCTCTGCCTCCGGGTCCCTGCGGGGCGGGAGGACGGTTCCACTTCAGGGCAGGGGCAGGCCCTCAGGCCCAGCGAAGGGACATGCCACTGTCACACCAGCTGGGAGGGAGGGGACGGAGCTGGGACGCCCGGCACCAAAGGTGTTCTCCCTCCGCCACCTGGGCGTCACCCGCATGCTGGGCCCAGGGCCCATGAGTCCTGGGGATCCCTTGCTCTCCAGGTCACTGCTCCCGGGTATCCGTGACCTTGAACCCTCCTTGCTGGCTCAAAGCAAACTTCGATGTTCAAAGTCAGGGTAAAGGACAGGGGACTGCAGGGGCCTGAAGGGACTCTGGGGGCCGCTCGTGTTCTGCCTTAGGGGTCCGTCCACTGTGGGGCCCTTCCCGGAACCCAGCACGAGCTCGCGGTGTTTCCGTGGCTGCCTGCGTCCCGCACACCTTGCCGGGCTGTCATGCGCAGTGGGGGCGGGGAGGGGGGGGCTTGAGGTTCCCATAGAGAACGACAACGCTCTCTCTAACAGGGGCTTTCTCCTCTGTTGCGGCCGTGGCCACGTGGTGCCATGGAATGAAAAGCGCGCCCTCGCCGGGACGGGGGAGGCCAAGCCCAGGGTCACAGGGCCCGGCATCCGCCGCCTCCGCGGGCAGCGTGCTCCGCGCTGTTTGTGGTTCCCGGACGCTTACATAACAGTGACGAGGAACAGCTCGTACCGCCGCGAGGGTCACGAATTTCCTTCCTCCTGGCGCGCGTCTCCTTAGGCCTCCGGTTCGGTCTAGACAAACACTGGCCCGAGTGCCGCCACGCAATGCCGCCCCGGTAAATATTTGTCTGCGCGGCCGTTCTGGGAGCGAGCCCTCCCCCTCCCCCCTCCCCCTCCCTCCAGCTCCTCTGACTTCAGAGACTCACCCCGCCCAGGAGGGCACGACGTTTGTTTCTCTTTTTAAACTTTGGGTCCTCTGAAGAGCCAGGGAGCTTTGAAGGTGTCTAAATTGCCAGCGAGGGTAGTAGCAAGGATGTGGCTGTGACTGTCCAAAATTAGAAAGGGGGAGGAAACAGAGGAACAAGTGGTTTTGAATGTGAAGGTGTCAGAGCTGGCATTTTTAAAAATGTCAGTGAATAAACGTGCGTATCCACGGTCAGCTTCTTTCTAAGGAGTGCTTTCTGGCGCGGGGGGCGGGGGGGGCAGACCTCGCTGCCGGGTCTGGCCCCTGCGCGGCGGAAGGACACTGAGAGTGTCGGACTGTGGGCCGCGGGACAGCGGCCCAGATAACGCGCTCTCGCGGCGGCGTCCTGCTCCAACACCGGATCCTGAACGGGTCTGCCTCTGGGAGGGGGTTTGGGGGGGGCAGCCTTCAAGAAGACGTTTAAAAGCTGTTCAGTGCATTTTGAAGATCTTTAATTGAAAAGTCATTGCTGCCTTTCCTTTTTAATCTTACTATTGTGTTTTCCAGCTTTTAGGGACATCGAGCGTCCGCAGGGAGGCCTGTCTGCAGAGAGGAGCGGAGAGAGGCTTCTGGAACTGGGGGGCCGGAAGAAGACGAGAGCCAATGGATGGGGAGACACTTAGAAAGGAGAATGCACAGTACTCGATGAGTCCGTGCGGCAGGTTGAGGGGCATTTGCTCTGAACCGAACTGTGTCCCTCTAAAATGCATATGTGGAAGCCCTAAGCCCCAGTGTGGCAGTGTTTGGAGGCGGAGCCTCCTCGGGGAGGTGATTAGGTTTAGACGAGGTCACAGGTGGGGCCTCACGAAGGGATTAGTGCAGCAAAGTCAAAAGGACAAAGGGGTGCTTCTTCCCTGGCAGCTGCAAAGGGGCGCAGCCAGGGTGCACAGCACAGGTGTTCCCCTAACAAAGAACCCGGCAGATCACCTGGGTGGGCCAGGTGGCTGCTGCACCCCGAGGACCGTGACCCTAACTTCCCCAAAGGCTGAGTGGACCGGGGGTCTTACTCAGTCCTGGTGGCCCCGCAGACCTGTTTCAACTGGCACCTGTCTCCTCCAAGGAATACACCTCCGTGGACCCTCCTGGGCGGCCCCCCTCTCTTCCGGGGGTGAGGTAAAGAGATCTGTTAGATTTCTTATTTAAACAGAGACTTTGAGAGCCTCGCCCCTTTCCAATTAGCACGGGCAAGTTGAGTCTAGAATTCAAATGGAAAAGTCGACACGAGAGCAGCCAAGAAAATTCCAGGGGAGGGAAGTCATGAGATACTCCTGCAAGATGTTAAAATGCAAGGCAAAGTCCCAGAAACCAAAGGCACTTAGTCCGAGCGCATAAACAGGCGGACAGAGCAACAGAACAGAAGCAGACTAAAAACACTCAGGAAAACAGTGTGAAGGAGAGGGGGTGTTTCAGGTCAGCGGACGGAAGATGGGCCGTTTCACCAATGCGCGGGAAAACTGTGCAGACCTCCGGGCGGGAGTGAGAGCGGGTCTCCGGCTTGATGCTCAAAGCAAAAATAAATCCCAGACGGAGCTAAGTTATCATTTTTAAAATAAAGTTAGGAAGGAGCTAGGACAAACATGGGAGATTTATTTTTGCACTCCCAGATTGTGCCTGTCTTTCCAGGCACGCCACGGACGTCAGGAATCCCAAAAGATAAGACCGAAGCATTAAAAATGTCTTGGCAGCAAAAACAAAAGGCTTTTATCAGACTCAAGAAATAAATAAGTGATAAATTGGGGGAAATCACTCGCAACACATGTGATCAAGCGGCAAATTCCTTAGTATGGCAAAGGCTTTCAACACCGAGCAACGGGTCAGCCTCCCAACAGAAAGAGGGCCAGAACACAGGAAAACCGGTCACGGTGAAGGAAGCGTGAGTGTTTTTAAAGCAGACCAAGCCATGCTTGTTCTCATGCACACTGATGGAAATGCAAATAAAAATGATGCGGAGAGCTCCTTCAGGACTTGCTGAGGGGTCAAGGTCACCTGTGAAATGGGCTCAGGGAGCAGTGGGAATGGTCTCAGGCACACAGGGGCAGCGGCCGGCATCACCATCATGGAGAACCGACATGCTGAAATTTTACGGCATACGTATCTCCTGGCCGCTCAGTTCTGCAGGAACTCGGGGGACTTAGGTGCGTGACAGCTGTCTCCAGGACATACGCACAGGTCTCTTCACTGCCCCATTGTAACAGCAAAAGGTGGGAAGCCATCTATATATGTCCATCGAGAGAGCCGGTTCAAGGTCGCATGGAAATCCACACCATGGGACGCTATTCACGCATGAAAAGGAGGGAGGGGGTTGTCTGCACACCCGTGAGGAGCGGTCATCAGTGTGTCACCAAGGAGGAGGCTCGAAGGGGACCTCTGCATGCTGTACACCCTTCACCGGGAAGAGCTGGGCACCCTTGTCCAGGCTGCCTCAGAGGGGAGACCCAGGAACCCTTTCACGGCCTCTGAGCAGCACCCCTTTAAAGGATTTGTGTATTTTCTTTATGTGTGTCTGTTATCCATTGAAAGGCAAATCTAAGTTTTTGGGTATGCAAAGAACATTATTAACTGACTCTTGGCGGGGAAATCAGCCGTTTCTAGGCCAGTATGTTTGAAATTCTAGCTTTCGGACATTTTAAATCCAGTTCCCCAGACTTCATCTCCGCCCCTGGTTTGCATCTTCTCTGCCCCTGGTTTGCAACTTTTAGGAATGTTCCCCTTTGTTAGAGAAATAGCTACCTGAGGAATGAGGTGGAAGACTGCACCTGCGGTTGCCCAGACTCAACCAAAAAAAAAAAAAAAAAGAGCCCTTTGAAATTCAGGCATTCCTGCTGCCTTTGGTTGAGTGGCCTGTTGCCAACACAGCCCGCCTGGTCTCTCCCAGCGCGCGCTCCATGCGCCACCTGGAGGCAGACACTCTGTGGCACCCGTGGATGCTCTGCCCCCTGGTGGTGAGAGGTCGCTATAACAACCAGGCCACCGCCGCAGAGCTGCGGAGTGGGGGGCGGGCCAGCCTCAGGGCGCTCAGTAGAGGGCGCTGGTGTGACACAGCCAGGTTTGTGCAACGGAGCTGCGCGTGCTTTCTAGCGCAGCAGTGGTATGCGGGTTTTACGCAAACACACACAAAAGCGCTAGAAAAACTGTAAAGGGCATAGTTACGGGCCTAGTGAGAGTGATTGATATTTTAAATTCCAAATTCTGATGTTCTGTATTTAACTGACAAAACTCCTGCCCAGGACCCCCGGGGCATGTTAATCAGCTGCTGCCTCCGCCTGACTCCGGAGGGCGCCCAAGTGCCTCTCCTCGGGGTCTCCCGCATCACGTCCTCCAGGACGTCCGGCCAAGTGTGGCCACGTGTGCAAACACTTAGGCTGGTTCCAGAGCACAGGGGGCAAACACAAGGCCCACGGGCCACATCCGCCCTCCACTTTGTTTTATCTGGCCCTGCACCTTGCTTCCAGCTGGAGGCAGTGCTGAGCTCTCGCTTAACTGTTAAGGAGCAGTTACATTTATACAGTTCTGATGTTGCGTTCGGCCCTTTGAAGGCAACCGTGAGACTGCTGTGGCCCCCGGTGAGAATGAGTGTGACGCCCCTGCCCTACAGCAGGGGTCAGGGGTCAGGGGTCAGCTCACTTAATTTTCTTTTCTGTAACGGGCCAGATGGCTAACACTGTTGGATCTGTGATTCATACGACCTCTGTCCCAAGACTTCAACCCCGCTTTTGTCCCTCGAATGCAGTGCTAGACGGGTTGTACATAAACGTGTGATCGTGCCAATAAAACTTTCTTTATAAAAACAGGTGGGAGGCTGGATCTGGCCTGTGCGCCATAGCTGGCCAAACGCGTCGGGAGCATGTGTCCCTATCTGTAAACTCCAGGGACGCCGCGCCTTGCCGGCAACGTGATGGCGTGTGGTGTGCCGCCCCACGGAGCTCTGTGTGCCGCCCGGCAGGGAGACGAGCACGGCCAATGGCTGCTGTTTGCTCAGTTAGCACGTCCGGTGAGAGCCTGGTCCAGACTCAGTGTGTTCGGACCTCCGGGGCCCCGAGAACACGTCTGGCCTCGGGGAGCTAGGGGGAAGAGCGCCTCCGTGCTGTGGAAGGCCCCAGCGTCTTTGACCCGAGAAACATCGGCTCAAACGACGCAGCCCTCCCCCCAGGGCTCTGATCCTCGCCGTCTGCGTCAGAGCACCCAGGCCCTCCACGCCTGCGCAGCGTCTCCCGAAGACCCGGAGGGCACAGAGCCTGGAGAAGGTGCACTTGTGCCTCGGTCCTCCGCGGCCCCGAGCGGGCCTCCCCTCCTTCTCTTGGACTTGGGGGGCGCAGTGGTGCTTTCTGTCTCCTTTCCTCCTTTTTTGTAAAGATGTTTTATTTATTTTATTTTTTAGAGAGAGGGGGAAGGGAAGGAGAAAGAGAGGGAGAGAAACATCAATGTGTGGCTGCCTCGAGCGCCCCCTACTGGGGAACCTGGCCCACAACGCAGGCACGTGCCCTGACTGGGAATTGAACCAGCAACCCTTTGGTTTGCAGGTCAGCGTTCAATTCACTGAGCCACACCAGCCAGGGCCTCCTTTTTCTCTTTTACTGCAGGGTCAGCCCTTGCGTGCATACCCTCCGCCTCTCCCCGGTTCCTGAGTTCCTGCCGGGGAGGGGGTCGGGCCTGCCTGTGGCAGCCTCTGGCCCGCAGAGTCCGCCTGCTGTGACTGGAGACGAGAACAAATGCACAGGTGACAGCAGTCCTGTGGGGGAAAGGGGACGGCAGGGCCACTCTCTCAAGGGGAGAGTGCCCAACCCTCGCCTGGACAGGCTTTTATTGCCTTTCTCGGGCCTTACATCAGAGAAGGATTTATTATCTACTACACAGCATGTTGTTGTCCCCATTTTAGCGACAATCAAGGATGCGAAAATGACACGTGCAGAAGGGAAGGGCGGTGAGCTGACTGTGCTCCGTCCTCGGGAAAGTTCGCACGGGCTTTGGGGACGACCTTGAAGACAGACAATGCACATCTACTGTTTCAGACCGAGGTGGGGAGTTTTAGCAAGAGCAAGCCGTAGCAGTCTGTATGCATTTTCTGGGCCTGATTCCCACGGGAAAGCTCGGTTTGAGGGTCTGGCTCCTGCCCACCACCTCGCTTCTGCAGGTTTTCCACGCAGAGCTGAGTCACATTGGCCAGATTCAAAACAAACCGATCCCCTACACCTGCCCACAGCGCGGGTGCCGCAGGCCTGGGGCTGAAGGGGGGGGTCGCCGGGCTGGCTGGGAGACGGGTTTCCAAGGGCAGGAGAGGACGGTGGCGTAGTCCCTGGAAACGGCAGAGGGGGCCCAGCCCAGCGGGCGGTGGGGGGGTCCAGCACCTTCCCGAGAATTCTGAGCCAGGGGAGGGCAGCCCGATGCAGCATCTCCCGGTGGGGCTGGGACCTGCGGGTCCCCTGGCCAGGACCACACTTGGGACAGGGCTGCCAGAGACTCCACCGGTTTCTGCCACCGAGGCCGGGCAGCCCTTCAGATGCAGATCCCCCCTCCGACTCTGCTTCCTGCCAGCTTGGGCCCGGGGCTGGGGGGGCTGGGCTGTCCCCCTGAAGCACAGTGCGCACATCTGCAGTCTGGGGGCAGAGTCCAGGTCAAGGTCACATTTCATCTGGCCCACACAATGTCTAGAACATGAGTTAGTTGCCAGCATTTAAAAATCAGGAGATTTTCTTTTATTTTTTAGAAAGCAGTTTCAATTTTTTTAAAGATTTTAAAAAAGATTTTATTTATTTATTTTTAGAGAGGGGAGGGAGGGAGAAAGAGAGAGAGAGAGAGAAACATCAAGGTGCTGTTGCTGAGGGCCGTGGCCTGCAACCCAGGTATGTGCCCTGACTGGGAATCGAACCTGCGATGCTTTGGTTCGCAGCCCGCGCTCAATCCACTGAGCTACGCCAGCCAGGGCAAAAAATCAGGAGATTTCAAACAGACATACAGATCTGCAGTTTATTTTTTAAAATAACCCATAAGTCCATCCAGACAGGGCACATTTCCGTCTGGTGGGAAACACCCGGTTATGTTGGCGGGGGGTGGGGGTGGGGGTGGGGCCCCACAGTCTGTCCCTGGCTCTGCCTGGGCCTGGCTCCCAGGTTCCTGTCTTTGGGCACCTGCGGGTCGCCACGGAGATTACCTGCCCACTGGCAACCTGACACCCTCATTCCCGAGCCCCCAGGGTAGTCCCCTCAGAGCCCCCCCCCAAGAACCCACAACCACTTTCTGAAGGGGCCATAGTGATGGTCAGAGAACACACACCATAGAGCACGATAAAAGGCTTTAATTTTTTTAAAAGATCTTACTAATTCCTCAAAAGGCATGTCGCCGCCCCATCCACCAACACGTGAAACATCGCACACAAAACAGTCACTGAGATTCTGTCTGTAAGGAGCTCGGCCCAGCCTCTGGGCGTGGCCAGCAGTCCCCGTCCGTCAGACCGGATTTTAAAACACAGTGACGAGGATTCGGAAATCTGCAGCTTGCGAGGGGTTTGGGGGCCATGGCGGGGTGGGGGGGTGGCCCGAGCAGCTAGCTGGTCCCTCGAGGACAGGCAGGAGTCTCGGGGTGTGGGGGGTGGGGCGCAGCAGGAACCGGTTGTAAGGGGCCAGTTCTGTGCCTGCGACACCAAAGTCAGCGAGACACTGTGACGCAGCCGCGGCCGCTCCGGGTCCCCCTCCGCTGGGTTCCCCGCCTGCCCCTCCTTCACCACGGCGAGACGTGCCTGTGTGAAGTGGGGAACCCCACGGGGGCTGTGAGATGCGAGGAGCCAGGTGTGCTTCTGGGGGGCCCGTGAACCCCCAAGATGGTGGGCAGCATGTTGCACATATGAGTATTTTGGGGATGTGGGGGAGGGTCATTAGCTTTCATTAGATTTTCAAAGGGCTCTATGACCCCAAGAGCCACCTGTCTCGAGGACCCAGTCCCCCAGGCTCTGCCCCAGAGACGTCCCAGCCGAGGGCCTGCAGCTCGCCCAGCGGTGTCTCTGTCTGTACAGGCCCCCGGGCCTGGGGGGTGGACGGGGACGGGTCCGTGCCCTTGAGGACAGCCACCAACACTAGGGGAGGCCGTGAACAGCCATGGTTGTTTGAAACGTCCCGCCCTCCGCAGGCGAGCGTGCGGGTGTCCCAGGGTGCTCGTGCACCCATGGCAGCTGGAGGGGGCGCTGCACCCACGGCGCACCTGCTCTGCCACTCTCTCGGGCCACGAAAACGCGAACGAGGCTGATTCTGCGGCCGTGAGCCCCGCCCGGTCCCATCCAACCCCATCCCGTCCCTTTCCCTCCCACCCCCGTCCGCCAGGGTGTCTTCTGTGTCGTGGGGAGCCGGACAGCAGACAGGACAGCAGCCGTGGGGGTGGGAGGTGGAGGGGGCGCCCTGAGCGACTTTCCCGTGGCTGCCGTGACCGGGAGTCCCGAACTGCCCCGCCTCGGACCAGAGGACTCGGTGCCGCACCGTCTGGGAGCCGGGAGCCTGAAGCCGAGGGTCACGGGAGGTGCTTCCTCTGCCACCTGCGGGGGACACTCCCTCCTCGCCTCTTCCGGCTTCGCTGCTGGCTGTCACCGTGGTGTGTGTTCCTCGGCTTGTGCCTGCGTCGCTCCAGTCTCTGCCTCTGTCGCCACATGGGCCCCCCCCACGTGTCCCCATCCGCACCTCCTCTTCTTTGAAGGACATCCATCATGTTTCATCAGAGCCGACCCCAGGGGCCTCACCTCACCTGGATGGCACCTGCAAAGACCCTGCGTTCACATAGGGTCGTGTTGGCAGGTACCAGGCACTTGAACAAATATTTTGTGAGGACACGGTGCCAGCACAATGGGCACAGAAGCTCAAAAGGCCTCACCACCTCGGTGCTCCGTGCTGGCAAATGCCCACCCCCACCCCCAACCCCCAGGCTCCAGGGGGCGGGGCACCCTTCCCTCCTGCCGAGATAACTGAGTACCTTCTGCCTGCTGTACCTTCTAAAGTGGGCATTTTTTTTTTCTCCTGCATCGTAGTCTTGTAAGATAGGTGTATTCATTACAATACAGATCCTGCTGCTCTAACATAAACCAAAATAATGGTGGCTTCAGGGAGATTGGAGTTAGTTGCTTTTCCCTATGAAGCCTGAGCTGGCGGGCGTCCAGGAAGGCCGGGGGGCCTGCCTCACGGCGCTGCCCGGGGCCCCAGAGTTTGCGGTCTGTGCACACACTGTCCGTTTCCAGAGTGACAGCTGGCCCACCACTCACCCCCGTCCCAGCCACTGGGACACGGGAAAGGGAAAGAAAGGACACGTCCTTTCCTTTCCAAGAATCACACAGAAAGTGCTCTCACCACTCCCACTTCTGCTGGCCAAAGTGTCATCACACAGCCTGCTAGCTGCAAGGGAGTCGGGAACTATAGCCCTCATTCTCCGAGGCACCCCCCCCCTCCGGGGACAGTTCCTGGGGAACAGCTGACGGTCTAGGGCGAAGGAATGTGCTCTTAGAGAAACAGTGCTCCTAATACACCCCTCACCGACGCAACAGCAGAGAAGTGTGTCCTTGCGGTCAAGCGTATGCGGGGGGCAGAGGGTCAGGACGATCAGACGGTCCCGCAGACGGGGCCCCCCGCGTCCGCCGGCCGGGGGTCAGGACGCGGGCTTCGCCTCGGGAAGGCCCGCGTCCGGCCGCTCCACGGCCAGCTGGTTCTCGATGACGTAGCAGGCCCGGCAGCTCTCCAGGACCCGGGCCTGGAAGTACGCCCTGTCCTTCTCCTGCCAGGCGTCGGACTCAATGTACACGTTGAAGGGGTCGTGCGAGTGCTCCAGCTTCTTGGAGCGGATGTAGCTGAGCATGATGCCCAGGGTGAAGAAGCCGAAGAAGCCCAGCACCATGAGCACGTAGAGCGCCTCCATGCCGCCGTGGGCGTCCCCGAGGGCCCGGCGGGCCGGCCCCGACACGTTGCCGCCCTGGTGGGCTGTCTCCTGCCACAGCGCCGTCAGGAAGGGCGTCGCCGCCACCGTCACCGCCGTGGTGTTGGGCAGGGCCATCCTGCACATGGGGTGTCCACGGCGGGAGGGGGGCCTTCCGGGGCGGGCTGCCTGCAAGGAAAGCCCAGCCCAGAATCAGCACTCGCACCGCAGTCCACGCCCACGAATGCACGCCATCTTTAGGATGCCAGGGGCGAGGGGCCTCAGCATACCCCCAGGCCACACCGGGCGCCGGCCTGGGTCTGCACAATGGCCCCCGCTCGATTGATCAACTGACACATTGATCGCCTCTTGTTCCCACTCACCAGCCCCACCGCCTACCCCCACAGGGGACCGCCGGAACGGGCCCCTTTAACACACACCTTGGTGCGCGCCTGCCCTCTCGTTCCCCCAAGAAAGACCAACCTGTGTCCCTCCCCCCCCAAGTTCCTCCTTTGAAGCCCTCCCCCTCAAAGTGACCGCACCTCGGGGCAGGGTCTGCGGGAGGTCATTAAGGTCTCAGGAGGTCCCGAGGGCGGGGCCCTGACCCACTGGGACGGTGGCTTCGCGAGAAGGGGAAGACACATGAGGACACCTGGAGGAGGCGGCCGTCTGACAAGCCAGGGCGGAAACCACCCCCTGTGGGAACCTTGGCCTTGGCCTGTCAGCCTCTGAGACCATGAGGAAACGCATGTGTGCTGTGGTGGTCCCCTGCCTGTGGCATTTTGTGGCGGTGGCCTGAGCTGACGGACATGCTCTGTGAGCGGGATCGGGGTGCCGAGACCCCGTCATCCCCTTGTCCCTCCTCAGTACCCAGGCTCTCAGGCCCCCGCCCACCGCCCCCCCAGGCTCTCAGTCAACCCAAGTTCCCGTCCTTTCTGTCACAGGGGGCCCACGGCGGTGCCCATCCCCCAGAGCCGGACACTGCTGCGCCACCAACCCCCCACACACAGGGTGGCCGACGGCCCCCTGGGGACCTAGGGAGGTCCCACATCTTGCACAGCCGGTGCCGGGCGGACGGTCAGACTGAGGTGCTGCCGGGCCCCCTGGGAGGTAATGCCACCAGGAGCACCACACCCTGAGTGGACACCCTGCCCCACTCCCCCATACGGCGGCCTTGGGGGTGGTGCGGTGACGGCTCTCCTCCAGCTCCGCGCTAAGGGGCTGTGTCCCTGCTGGTGCTTGCTGCCCCTCTCTGCACAGCCCCCCACCCCCGCGCCCCCTGCCCCCCACTGAACGGCCCACATGAGCTGCACAGAAGGTGACAGTTTCCCGGTCACTCTAATCCGGAGGTCACTGTCCCTGAGTACCCATGTAATACGCCTTGGAGCTGTGACATGGGTCCCTCTGAAACCCTCACCTGGGGGGGGGGGACCCTGCAGGCACCCATGAGCTAAAGCAGGCTGTATTCTTGTTTGTTTGTTTGTTTGGGAGAAGTCTGGTGTCTGCCCTCACTTCCCGCTGAGACACGGAGCCCCCTGGGCCAAGCCGAGGGGCGCGCACTCCAGACTCAGCCCAGAAGGGGGCGCTCAGGGCGAGTCCCACACTAATGGCCTGTGTTACTTCTCAGGGCCCCCCACGCAGCTCAGTGAAACGCCCTGGGTGGCTGTTGTGACCACGGGGGAGGGGCTCTGGGGGGCACGGTTTCTGGCAGAAATGCCGTGGGAAGGGAAATGCCCAAGTGCCCTGTGTGCGGTGCGCACGTGGGGGGTTGGGGGGCAGGGGGCGGGGCTCAGGCTTCCGCAGGGCGGACGGGCTGGCACCGCGGCTGTCTCGCCAACACGGACGTCAGCCTCCGAAACCTCCGGACTGGACCAGCGCTAATTCTTTGTGGAGCGGGCTTCCCCTTCAGAGGGTTACCGGACACGGTGCCCGGCAGAGACGCAGCCCCCGGCCCCGCCCTCTTCCTCCGCCACCCCCGGGGGGAGGGGGGAATCCATTGCCCACCCTCCTCCCTCCCACCCGGGCCTCTCCCTGGTCGCCACACCTGCTCCTCCGGGGTCCCCCACGTGGCCACCACCCCAGGCGCCCAGTGAGCACCAGTGTTCAGGGACTTTCCAAGGGCCCATTCACCTTCTGCCGCCCCCACCCGACCCCTCCTCGTGGACGGAGCATGCTCCCCACCCGGTGAGCTGCGTCACCGCCCGAGTGCCGGGACCACCCGCACCGCAAAGCCAGTCCCGTCAGCCCCAGCCTGGCCGTTAGGGAGAAGGGCCTGCTGTCAGCTTGGTGACCCCGGGCAGCCCTGAGAGGGGGTGCAGTTCCCTGTCCCGCTCGCTGTCCTCTCCCCCGGCACGACTTCCCCGGACCCCACGCCCCAACCTGGCTCGCCGCATCTGCGACCCTGAACTTGTCACAGGGTCTCTGCACGTCTCCTGCACGGGTGGGACTCTCCTGCCTGGTGCCTAGCCACCCCTGGAAACTCAGCCGGACTCTCACCTCTTCCCTGAAGCTTCCTCTGGCGCCGGGGCGGGCTGGCAGCACCCACACCACGTGCTGGGGGCCGCCGCGCTCCCCCTGCCGGCTTCAGCACGGCCACTGCCCGCCTTCGTCCGCTGCCCACGGCCCCACGGCAACACCGGGCTGTCTGCAAAGCCCTCGCTGCCTCCTGGCGTGTGGGGCCGACGCTTCCTGGCAGGCTAACGATTAGCAGATAACGTGGCTGCTTCCAGCGCTACAGCGATGGCCCTTTTCCGGATGGGCCGCCGTCTCCCGGCTGGAACCACACTCCCGGATCCGTGAGGGGGGCGGGGGTCAGGGGGCACTCAGACGTCAGAATCGTGCCTCCTCCCGGCCTTGGATCCAGGCCCCTGCATCCCTCCACCGCCCCCCCCCCCGCCCCCATGACCCCAGTCTGCTTCCTCAGGCCAGCCCAGGCCTGTCTTTCTCCCTTTGGGAGATGAGAAAGGCCGCTGACCCTTGGGCTGCGGGTCACCCTCCAGGTCCCGGAGTGGCTGACCGCGTGTGGGGGGCACACAGCGTGCGTACTTGGTGTCCCGGGCGTGAGGGGTGTGGGTGGTTCCACCTCCTTAGGAAGCAGCCGCCCGGGGCTTTGCGGGGGTTGGGCCTTGCGGTTCGGCTCTCCCACAGCTGACCACTGTGGCTCTGCTGTACCTCGTGGTGACACGGCCAACATGAGAGACACGCGTGTCCTGGGCCTTCCCCGACACCTCCGGGGCGGTCGAGCCCATGCCCGGAGATCTGGGAGTGGGGGGGGGGGGTGAGCTGCGAGAGACTCTTCCGAAAAACCAGCATCGGGCCCCTCTCTGACCAGGAGCCCCGGGCAGGAATCGCTGGGTAACAAGTGCTTTCCTTAAAAGCGTAGACCCGGGGCTGCAGGGCTGCTGGAAATCACTCCGAGTTTCCAGACCTCACGCCCAATATTTTCTGTTCAAATGACTGGAAACCACTCAGGAACTCATCAACGCTGCCCAGAACACGGCCTGGAGCTGGTAATATCCTTTCCTCCCCAGACCCCGAGGGGCCGCGGTTGGCCGGTGTTCTGGCCCCCGGCCCCCGCTGGACCGGCCTTATCGCTTCCCCACCACGTGAGCGGGCTTCCGGCGGCCCCGCCCAAGGTGCGCTGGGTCCGGGCCCACGGCAAGTTCAAAGGGGCTTCTGCAACGGCTGTGTGCCACTCAGTCCCCCGGGCCCTGTCACTCCAGGCCAGATGGGCTTTTCCGTGCCCAGAGGAAGCAACCAGAAACATCCGCCCTGGACGCCTGCCAGGCGGAGGCCCTCCAGCCTTCCTCCGAGGCCGTGCGCTCCGGATCTGGAGTCACTGCGCGAGAAGGCAGGCGGCCGGGCGGCTGCACCCCCGGGGTGTCCGACGGGGAAGGCCTGGGGCCCGAGAAGCCGCATGCCTAACAAGCTCCCAGGTGCCGCTCCCACTGGGGACCCCCCCTGGGTGACTTATTAGAATCAGCTGGGAAGTTTTACAAAAACGATTCTTGAATTTTACCTCCAAACAGGGGAGGTCCTCAGTCAGGGTTCCTATGTGGCGCGGGGACTTCTTTTTTAAACCTCCCCTGAGGACATGTTTATTGACTACAGGGAGAGGGGGAGGGGAGGGAGAGCGGCACCAACATGAGAAATAACGATCGGTGGTCTCCCGTCCACACCATGACCCCCGTCCACACCTCGACCTGAGGCTGAAACTGCAACCTGGGTCGTGCCCCGACCAGGGACGGGACCTGCGACCTTCCCGGTGCATGGGGTGTGGGGCGTGGCGTGGCGCTCCATCCCATGGAGCCACCGGCCAGGGCCGGCTTTGGGACTTTCAAAAGCTCCCCAGGTGGCCCTAACTTGCAGCCGAGACCGAGACCACCGGGCTCTGCCGTGAGGCCTGAAGAGGCTGACCCGTCAGCCTTCTGAGTGGCCAGGCACTGGGGAATTAGTGTTGATACGCAGAGAAATGGGATTTCACAGCGTACTTTCCCACTCTCACCTGGTTTTCAGATTTTCTCCCCCGGGCTCCCACGTCCCCGGTGTCACCCGAAGGGAAACTGCAGCGGGAGCCCCTTTGCTGTCACCCTGCTGCCTCGCCCGCCCCCGCTCACGCTGGCATCTGAACCCACGAGGGCCTGGCAGAGCTTCAGGCTGGACCAGGAAAGTCCAGTGAATCAGCTGCCTTTCCAGTAACAACTCCGAGGTGTTAAGGAAACGCCTGGTTCTTCCCGTACTTTGATTTACTGTGTTGCTTTGGCCAAAGGCCCTCTGCGTGTACCAGGGCCTTCTGAGTGCCGGGTCGCGTGGTGGTTTGTGCCGTGAGTCTCAGGGTGAGTTTGACCAAACCCACTCACGACACAGACCCCACTGGGGGTGGACGTCCTGTGCCCCAGGTTCACTTCCACGGTCACGACAAGTCACCGCCCAGTGGCCACCGTTTCCAACGTGGACTCACGTGAACCTGGACGGCAACCGACCCGACGGTGGGTCTCAGCTCACGGACACCTGGGCTCCGTGGGGGGCGAGCGGACCCGCCCAAGGTCATGTCTGTTACCGAAAAGACGTCTAAAGCGTGAAGAGGTAGTACAGAAAAGGCGGTTCTGGGGTCTTGGCGGAGAGGAGACGGATTCTTAGGCTCCAGGGAACCGGGGAGCTGGCCAGTTCCATCAGGTAAAAGTGTGTCCACCCGAAGGAGGACCAGCTTTGGAGGGAAAGAGTCGCCAGGGCACCCCTCCCCTATGGGACATGCCCCTCCCCCATGGGGGACACGCCCCTCCCCTGTGGGGGACACCCACAGCTTTCGCCCCGTGCACAGTGACTCCGGGGTCGGGCGGCTGGGGCAGTGGGAACCAGCAGGGTCCGCCTCCAAATACAGCCGGTTCGATGGCTCTCTGACCACGCCGGCATCCTCGGAGCTCAGACCCAGAGCTGCTGCGACCTCTCCGGACGAGGCCCTGGGCGCTGAGCCGGGCTAGCAGCTGGCTGCCCCCCCCCCACCCACGGGCTCTCTCCGTAAGGCCCCCGGCCGACTGGACGGCACGCTGTCCCGGCACACACCAGCCCTCTGCATCCCCCCCCCGCCATGTTCCCTCCAGCTCCGTGTCTGTCAGCGCTGACAGCAGCGTGGAAGCTCTCGGGGCTGGCTTCCCAGCATTACCAGCTTCTGTGCTTTCCTAAGCGTTGGCCGGGCGGGCCAGGCCCCTGCGGCTGACTCCAAGCTCTGCCCTGAGAGGGGCAGGTCCTGGGGGCGGAGCAGGGGAGAGGGGGCAGGTCCGACCCAGAGCTCAGGGACCCTAGTGCAGCCTGCTCAGTCCCAGCGGAACTGCCCGCTCTCTCCCCGGGACCTCAGCTGCTTATCTAGGCGGAACGTGCCGGTCATTCTTCCCAGCATTCCTCGAGCGTTTTCTTGAAAGAGCACGGGGTCTGGAAACCGTCAGGAGGCCTGGCTGGCTTCAGGAAGCGGGCCCAGGGTGACACCATTACAGAGAAGCCTGATTTGGGAGACCGTGACCTCCCTGGGGCGAGAATTCCAGGAGCCCACTGTTCCTTAGGAGCGGCCGTCACTGCTTGCATCATTGCTGCAACACTGTGTCCAAATTCTGGAGGCATGTTTGCCTCCTTGCAGGAGAGGAGCCAGCAGGGCCCCCCCCCCCCCCTGGACCCTTCCAGGCAGGTGGCGGGCTTCCCACGTGACCCTGCCCGGAGGCAGTGAGTCACCGAGGGGCCGGGTCTCGGGAATCTGGATGGAACCTGCTCAGGCAGCGCTTGTGACTGTCCTTGTGGATCTCGATGGGCTTCCTGCCACCTCCCTGCTGGGCCTGGGCTGTGGCTCTTGAGTCCGGTTGGTCGTAGGACTGGGAGCTTCCCAGTCCTCCCCAGGGTGATGAGAGGGGGGCTCGGGGTGTGACAGGTGGGAATGGGAACAGCACCCTGGGGAGAGGGACCTGGTCACTCACAACCTAGAGCAAGGAGGAGCGTTTGGGCACGGAGGAGGGGTCACAGGAAGATCTCCCGGCTCTGGGGGCAGCTGAAGTCACATGGAAGGAAGGAAGGCAGATGGAATCTCGCCTTCAGCAAATTAAAATGACTCGGGGGACCTCCGGCCCTCCCCTGAAAACAGGGACGGATGCAATCTCCCCCGACTGCACCACCAGGTTCTGGGGGGCATGCAGCCAGCCCCCCCTTTCTTGCCTCTTGTGTTCGCTGCTTTCTCTGCAACACAGGTGTGAGCACCACACTTGCTTGTCAGAATCCTCCGGAAGCCCACTCCCGTGAACCCGCCCTGGTGTCCCCGAGCCTCTTGGACACGCAGCGCCCCCTGTCGGTCAGCCCCCACACTGACTGGGTCACGGCAGCCTGCGGGGCTGTCTGGGCCTTTCCTCCCAGGAGCTCAGCGAGGTCAGAGACTCGGCTCCCCTGGTCCCCTCTCCCACGCCCGCCCGGGGGGCGGCAGCGCGGGTCCGCAGAGTCAGAAAGGGCCAGGCTCCAGGCGAGTGCAACCTGAGAGCAGGTAATAAAGTACCAACACGCTCCGGAAAGACAGGGGGGAGGGGCGTGGCACCTGATGAAAACCTCCATCAACGTAGCATGTTTTCATATAGGAACGTTGAAACGACCTGCATTTCTGTTGTTACTGTATCCGCATTATTTGCTTCGCATAGCACGTGTATATGAGTATATTATATTGTATATTAAGTGTATCCTGTTCTGAGTGTCTCCGCACCCACCCTGTTGTCCCTCAAGCAGGCCAGGGCGGTCGGCCATCCCAGCTCCGCAGCACAGTTTTTGTCCCCCTCCCCCGTGGGTACCCACGCCCACACTACCTACCACGTGCAGAGATACTTCAGTTTTCTTGCGAGTTATGTTCCTCGTTCGGTGTCTGTCTTCCCCACCGAAATGCACGCTTGCTCCTGAGGGCGGGGCCCTCGGCTGTGCTGGTCCTCGTGGCCCGCAGGCCAGAGCAGGGTCTGCTCGTGGCCGGAGCCCTGGGCGGGCTTGGGGGGGGCGCTGTTCATAGGACGCAGGGGTGCATGCAGGGACGCCCGAATGAAAGGATGTTCCACTCAACTACCGGACGGACGCCACCACTGGGACATGGTCTCCCAGCTCTCCCTGCCGAGA